GAGAAAGAAGTGAATAATGGTTAAAGCAAATTAATGGAACAATCTCCATCAATTGGTTAATTTTAATACATGTGGTTGCCTCTAAAGTGAAAATGAAGATTGCCACTTTGTTATCTCAATAGTACTCTCACCAATAGGTTTGATGACAGTGAAGCTACCAGGTCCAAACAAAAAAAGCCTTTACTTATTTATCATATACCAACATCCACAACACTTCAGATATGATCACAACTGTCTTATCATGCATACATACATACACATGTATTATACAAGTCAATTTGTTTATTAACGAAAAAGAAAAGCAAATTCAAATATCCGAATCTGAATTAATTTTATAATTGATTATCAGGAGTTCGTACGTATATCCGGAGTCCAAGATCCAATACCAATGAAATTAACATGGGACCACATGGGAAGCACCAGCTTTCAAATAAAAAAAAGAATCATCAAAATCGGTTTACTCAGTTGAAAGAGGTAACAAACATTAAAAAAAACATGCAGTCAAATTGAGAACCTCCTCCGTTTTTGAAATCTGTTGAAAAGTAACTTATATTAATAATAATTCCGTTGCAAGGTGTCAGATCAAATAGGTATGCAGCAAACTAAATTAATATTCAAATTATACGGCACATCTTATGAACTTTCAACATACATTCTATTTTTGTAAAGTTCAATGTCATTTGTGTTATAAAGAGAGACAATATTAAGGTTTTGTAGGAAAAAAACATTTGGCTATGCTTGCGTGATACCCTCTTGCTTTAGTGATACCCTCACAAGCATAGTTATGTTATTTTTTAATATCATCAATGCAAACAAATAATTTACATTTATTGGGATTAAAAACATTTAAAAACTGTTACTCTTAACATACAATATAACTAAGCCAATATTAACAAATAACAAATGAAAAACTATATTTATGTAAGGGTTAAAAGGCAAATTGTGAATATTTTGTATATAAAAATATACAACAGCTAACTATTGCCTTATTGCTGGCTGGCATACACATCTCCATTAGAAATTAAAAAATTTTATAGTGCCAATATCTGCACTTAATATTAAACATTAAAATTTGTAGAAAAAGTATGAAAAGATTCGCATTCTTTAGCCACTAAGCTAAATGGCTGATTGCCACAATTAAAAATGGAAATATTAAAGGAACATACAGTTTTAAATAATTAAATGTAGTCTTTAGAATCAATTAAATGACTAAAAAACTGGCATAGGCACAAGTGCGATGCCAAATGATAAGGTTGCCTACAGCTGATAAAACCGATGAAATTAATTTAATTGTAAAGTTTTGCAGATTTTATCCCCTATAATTAAAGTAGTAGTATACATTTAGTGATAGCTCAGTGTCCGGGCGCTCACCTTTAATTCAATATAGTCGAGCAACCTGAGTTCGATCCCCGGTGCCGGCACCAATGAAGTTTTTAACTTTAAGTGCTGACTTATCACGTGCTCCGCGGTGAGGGAAAACATCGTGAGGAAACATGCATATTTTCGAAATAATACCAAAAAAAAAATATATATATTTCGAAAATATGTGAAGTCCGCCAATCCGCATGGTGGACTATGCCCTGGTACCCTCTGTATAGAGGAGTCCTTTGCCCAGCAGTGGGACATGAATAGGCTGTTACTATACATTTATGTTGTATAGGAAGGTGCATATCAAAAGGAAACGGCTTTCAACAGAGAAAGATGAAGCGTGTTACACAACTGAACTGAATGAATGTTGCACAGACAAGAGTGAATACAGAGATGACATTCATATGACAGCTTAATATAATTGTCATGTGGAACTATATTTACGGTGTTGTTTTACCTACCAATCTTATTCTCAAGTAGAATCTCCTTACATACCAGAGCTACCAAAAGATAATTCAATAGAATTTTTATGTGTTTTAAGATCTTGCAGTATTGATCTGTTCTAAATTCATTTTAGGTATTGATAAAATATTTACTTTTGTTATTGTGGTAATGGTGCGTACATTTTACGTCTTGTTCATTTTAATTTTCTTATAAAATATTTTTTTTTTATGTGAGAAATGGGCAAACAAACTGGCAAATCACTTGATGTTAAGTGACAACTGCCGCCTATGGACATTTGCAATACCGGTAGGGTATATAATCTTTAAATAAAGTGGACTATGGCTACCTCACTCACCAGACGAAATGCAGTAGTGTAACACTTCTACTTTACATGGGTCTTCCTTGAACTCATGGTACTTACCCAGATGGACTTGCATACATGTAGTATACAATATACATTTAAAGAGCTTATATTGTGACAAACCAATCTGTTCTTAATAGATCAAAATGCATACCATTTGAACAAAATAAGGGCAGAATAGGCTATTATTTATATGAAATAATTGAAAATCTCTTTATTCAAAATTAAAGACATCAAGGTGTATACTTTTGAAGTAATAATAAAATATAAGAGATATAATATAATAATAAATAAATAAAAGAGTATTGTTCGAAATGTACATATCAAAGTACAGTTATAGTAAATATATATATATTTTATAATTTCCCCGACAGCTATCAATACTGCACTATTGTGCATATCAAAAGGAAATTGCTATCAAAATATAGTAGAAATCATGGTTAAAAATAATTATGCTTGCTGTTTAGTGACTTTATAAGTGAAACCTAGTACTTTACACCTACATATAATACAGTCAGAAATTTTTATATAAATATTTTATATACTCTTGAATACAAAAGCAATTGTAAACAAAAATTTACTGTTACAAAGTAAAAAAATCAGGTATAAAAGAATAGAATAGAAATTTACTTTAAAAACATATTTTGCATAAATTAAAGAGCTTGGTGAATAAAATTCAAACCTACAAGTCAAATTTGCAAATCAACATCTTGCATAAATGGTTGGACTAACAGACATTTTATTGTTTAAAATAAAATTGTTTAACTAATTCATCATAATAGCCAAGTTAGATGTGAATTATAAGACCAAGCTATTAATAGTTGCGTTATACACTAGCCAATTAATTAATATGGACCTTATGGAGGTCACTGCGTATATTAAGCACAGAAAGCAATTTGTAACAATAATATCATTGCCATGACAGCAATAAACATTGCTTTATGGCAATAAACACAGCACACATGATAGCTTTCAATGCAGGCAGGCAATTGATATGCACAAGGTTTCCACACAGCGTGACATCAAATAAAGTGTGACATTTTCGAAAACTTGTGACATGCCTGTGCAATTGCCTAATTCCATTTCTAAGTACAGAAAGTGGTCGCATATAGTTAATTAAGTATTAAGTGTCATTGGAATTATAATTAGCGGTTACTCGACGCTCATACATTTTCCGCAATTACGTGTTTCCTAAAAAAAACTTACTTAGTCGCCCTGAGGCGGAGACGTGGTGATTCCAGCGATAGAGAAGCCGATTAAAGCGTTATTTTACCATTTCGACCGACGTCTCCCCGAGTTGAGGCTTCGATCAGCATTCAAGGCACACACCGCGATCCCAAAAGTGAAAAGCTGACACAAACACTGCACTGAACGACCGCGGAGAAATTGCTTGGTGGCGCGTCCGTCTCTAATTCAATTAAGCCTTCGGACGGTCAAATATTTGCGGGAGACGGTGACACCGCTTAGGCAAACATCGCCGCGGCGACGACACCGCGAATGAGGAAACATTATTAAAAGTGAATAGTTCATCCGGCCTCGCCTAACGCGTCCTCCACAAAAAACCAGTTACAGCGATTCACCTACTGATCTACAGAACTCTTTCCGGATAGTACTGGATTGTTTTGCGATACATAAAAAATTATCAACGAAGCTGTACGCGAAACTAACCAAGAGTATTTTGATTAGTCGCAAATAATCAGACAAGAATATTAGATGGGTGAAAGGAGACATACCTTTGCGGAAACTTGTGACCAGCAACGGTGTCACTATATTATCCTTGAACAAATATGAACACTTTGGCACTGTATGAATGTCCACAAACAGTTAATAGCACAAATAAATAGTCGATATCACGAATATTATTGTAAAATCTGTAAAGTGTGCGGCGGATATATGCACTATCCCATGAAAGACGCCATTTTGATTTCGTCAACTAAACGGCGAAAGACAATACAGAGTATTTTTGTTTACATAGTTAAATTTATTAAAAGGTAAAAAATCACACATTTTTTTATATTTATCACGAATTTAACATTTGACATTATTATCTCTCTTTAAAATATCTAAAACATCAACTCAATTAATTTTCCTTGTTTATTATTTTGTTAAATTATAAAGTGGTGTGTGAGAATTGTGAGATGCAAATTTCTAATATATAATAGTAATAAATTTGATTTCTTTTGATAAGAAATCTAACTTTTAAACATTTGTTTTATAACGATAAACAATTTTTTTTATATTAACCCATAACAATGTTTTGTTTATGGTTATTCTTACCATATGAAACTTTTTCACCGCGTTGTAAGTAAAATTGTATAAGGTTCAAAAAAATTAATAATGGTTTTTTGATGACACAAAATAAGCAGAAATAGAAGTAGTTAGCATATCACTACTTCTGATGCCAACAAATTCTTAAGTTGAAATATCGTTTTAAAATTGTAATGTTATTGGAAAGCTTAAATTGTTGTTATCTTTATTTTCTATTACATTTAATTATATCACGATACTTATGTATTATATCACTTTAACTCTAACAACAAAATTTCCCGAAGTGCTGAAATAACTGCACTAAAATTATGTGAAATAAATAACTGTGGGGTTTTGATGCACACGTTGGTAAAATACGTTCACTAAATATCTCGCGCAATCCAAAAATCTCATATGAAGTCTCAATGTAATATTATGGCAATAATTTAGTTGTCAAAAACGTCTTGAAAGCAGCTGAGCTTGTGTTGTACGTGTGTTTTCGTCCGATGCGATTTTATCGAAATAATGGCATTGTGAAACGGGACTGACAACAATAATAGATGTGAAAAACGTACCTAACATGTCCAGCCGCCGTTCGTTGCTCGGATCGGCGCTAGAGGCTTTACCAGCGCCCACAGACCCTCTCCGAGAGCTGTTCGAAGCTTGCAAAACGGGCGACTCTGCTCAGGTGAAAAAGTTGCTAACGCCGCAAACTGTAAACGCGAGGGACACAGCTGGACGCAAATCGACGCCTTTGCACTTCGCCGCAGGTACTGTTCCATACACAATTATGATATCCTTATTTACGTTGGGGGAAATGCACAAAAACAATCATAAAAGTGAAAGGTTGTCTCGGTGCGTAATTTTTTGAGAATTGCATAATTGGTCACGGTGCCTGCTCGCGGCTGGCATGATTTATCCATTTCTGGTTATTGTTTTAAACTTGAGAGTCTGTGTCATAGACTATTTGGTTTCTGTCTTTGTTTTTCTTTGTGTTGATTTTTTTTTGAATTTTAATAACATTGTAAATGGAGCAATTATACTACACAGACTAGTGATACAAGGCAGTTACATTGCCTATTTCTTAATACTATAATTTTTTTCACTCTTTATTTTTTTTTAAGGAGGCTTTAATCAGAAGTGATTATGCCACCCTCATAGGCATTCAATCTTATTAGATGTTAATGTGCAAATATCTCATGCAAAATTAAAAAACTTAACAATAATAGCACATGAAGCAAGAAAATGTATGGAGACAATGTCCACATCCATTGCTGTCGAACATTGCAAATATTTGTTATGGTAATTCTGCAAAATTGTTATTAATTTGATTTGCAACAAATGTTTGGCTAAAACTCGGTATGAATTTAAATTGATACAGTTGTGCATGCCAAAATTTGGTAAGTTAATGTATGTTTAAGTATGTTTCTCAGACACGCCTATGGGTTCTTACATTATGTACATAAGTACATAGCTTGTATTAACAAGCTTTGATTAGCTTGGTACTAGATAATGTTGTGTAAAAATGCATTCAAAAATAATAATTTATTTATTTTAATTTTAAGTACTTTTAGTTCTCTTCCGCAGGTTTAATTTGGTCTGTATGCTGACACTATGCTTAGTGTCTGTTGCAAAATGTGGTAGTGCAACTGAAATACTGCCAAATTAAGGCAAAGATATCTTTAATATGGAATACCTTGGTACCTCGTGATTCACCATGTAAAACAGCAGTATTACTTTCATATTACGGAAATAGCCAACAAAAACACCTTGTTGCCCTAGCCCTGTAAGCAATGAAGGTTAATTATTTAGTTTGTATTCTATGGTCTATAATTCAATCTTAAAACTAGTTATTGTTCTTGGAATTATAACAGTACATGTGTAAAAAATACTAAAATAATATAATTACGGTAAGACACATTAAAAAGCAAAAAGTCCTTTAGTTTTTCACAATTTGATAACTGCAAGAACCATCGTTTGTTACTTATAATCCTCTTCTTCATGAAGCTTGTTATCTAGGTTGAGCAACTATACCAAGGTTGATTTCACCAAAAGGTCTACGGAAACTAGTTTGGGCTGACGTTTTTTTACATATTTTGTTTTTTATGAATTCCTAAATAGAAGAACAATAGTAGAGCTCTTTTCGGGAACTAATTAGTTGCCTCCGTTTTTTTCCCAATGTCTTCAGACTTCATCGTTTTCATTCAATTTGAATTGTTTGTCAGAGAAACTATATATTAGCGATTGATTTAGTTCATGGATATAATAGCAGTCTAGGTTGTATTTTGTCAGGTTTAAGCCAGGTAGATTTCAGAGTTTGGTAATAGTATGCTCGGAAATTGTTAAATGCAGTTTTGCCTCTTTTTAAAAAAAGTAAAGTTATGTTTGCTTTCAGTAAAATTATAAGTAATTAATGAAATCAACTTGATACAGATGCGTTATCGTTTTCATTTTAGGCTACGGACGCCGGGAGGTGGTCGAGCTGCTAATAGCCGGGGGCGCAGCCCTACAGGCTCGGGACGAGGGGGGCCTCCAGCCGCTGCACAACGCGTGCTCGTTCGGCCACGCGGACGTGGTGAGAGCCCTACTGACGGCGGGTGCTCCGCCGGCGGCCCGAGACAATTGGGGCTACACGCCGCTGCACGAGGCCGCCGCCAAGGGGAAAGTGGACGTCTGCATCGGTGAGCGATCGGCTGCTTGAAAGAGTAACTTACGAAGTTGATGTTATGCTAGCAGGGCTCGGAATCGCCTAGCCTTTAAAGGGTTTTTAAGCTGGTTCTATTAGTGTCGCTTTAGAAAAACAATTACATTCTAGTATTTCAAGATGACCGCTTATACGGCTAAGCTCTTTGTTTGAAATAATTCGAGTTAAGTCACAACCCTATACGAGCTGTAACCGGTAACCGGTTCCGGACTGAGCGCAATTATTGGTAGAATTCGGCTAAGCCATTTGTTTGACTTAATTCTTCGAGTTAACTCAATACCCCTTCGGGCGTTTTCAACGGTTTTTATCGGAGACCCTATCCAAAATTTCGGTTGATTCGGGTAAACCCAATTGTGAGCTTCCCAATATACTGCTAAGCCAATAGAAGGTTAACCCAAACAAACGGTTAGCACTCGAACGGCTTGAAACGTTCCAAGGCTTAATCAAATAATCGGGTTTTCCGGGCCCCGTGTACTAGTCCCAAAACGTGAGGTGTAACTTTGCCTGTCGTCGTACATAGATTTTGTATTTACGAAGAACAACACTCACATAGAATGTGTAGAAAAAAGTACGAATAGTTTCTCGCCACTGTGGGAATCAAACCCATGTCTTCGGTATTAACACCCAGACGCTGTAACCACTAAGCTAAACGGCTGATTGGTACACCGAAGAAATATCAACGTCCTTTATCTACACTGTTCTTTGTTCACATTTTAAGCAATTTCGATGTTCGAAAATCGAATTTGCTAAACAAAACTACCGAATATCTAATCAATGCCTTCCAAAAGTTCCACAAAATGTTGCGAGGCAGGCAGAGCGATTGTTTTCTACAAACTGCTTTATAATTCCAAAGGTTATATGAAACATATGATTTTTTTCCAGCGTTACTTCAACATGGGGCCGATCCGAACATTAGGAATACGGAGGGGAAGACACCATTGGACCTCGCTGATGCAGCCACCAGACCTGTGCTCACAGGTGAGTGGGTAATTAAAATAAGAAACTGGTGTAAAAAAATTATGCTGTGAGAATTTGTTTGGATTGGTTTGGTTTCTCTTCGATTTCTCGAACCAAAGCAAAAATCAAAAATTAACACGATAATCATTTGTTGGTTTCCTAAAAATTAAAGTCTCTTTTGTAAAAATGGTATTACGGCATAGTCCACCACGCGACGCCACTGCGGGTTTGCAGACCGCACATTTCTTTGAAATATTTTGTCTTCGTAAGCATTTAGAAAATATGCAGGCTTCTTCACGATTTTCCCTTCACCGCTGGGCACGTTAATGACTCATTAGTGCTGGGACCGCGATTTAAACTCGGCTCCTTCGAGTACATCGAATTAATAGCCAGCTCCCGAACTGACCTATCACGGCCCCTTAAAAGTCTACCTGACGCGAACGCAGTTCTCTGAAGTATACGACACGAAGTCGATTGTAACGCGTCCCCGTCGCAGCACAGTTGGAAGCTTGCGGGTGCATTACGCGACCCGAACGGCGTTCTCGCTCACCATTTTCGTCCGCAGGCGAGTACTGCGCGGCGGACGTGTTGGAGGCGGCGCGCGCTGGTGCCGATGAGCGATTGGCGGCGCTCCTCACTCCCCTCAACGTGAACGTTCACGCCGGGGATGGACGTCGCTCGACTCCCTTGCACCTCGCCGCCGGCTACAACAGAGCGAGGGCGGTGCGGCTGCTGCTGCAACGCGGCGCCGACGTCCACGCCAAGGACAAGGGGTGAGGAATACAGCAGTAACGATGGCTGCGCCACGCAGCAGCCTCGGCTGTTGCACGAATGGGCAGGCTCGGCCGGGTAAGTACCGCGACCTCACAGAGGACCGGCGTAAAGTGGAAGTAAAATACTTTCGCGTTTCGTCTGGTGAATGAGGTGGCCGGAGCCCAATTTTCAAAAGGTTGTCAACGCATCTGGAACCCTCGGGTGTAGCAGATGTCCGTGGGCGGCGGTATTCACTTAACATCAGGTGAACCACCTGCTCGCTTGGCACTTTTCACATAAAAAAGTATACAGGTTACCAGTTTGTTGGGGCTTGCTGGTGCCGTGGCTCCCGGCTCGGCCCTCAATATTTTATTAACGCCTAATTCTGGACACATTTTAAAGTGAATATCACGGGACATATTTTTACACAACGTTCTCTAGTCCCAAACTAAGCAACGCCCGTACTGTGAGTACTGGAAAACCGATAAATATTTTTCTTGTGTTAATTAATACATATCATAAATATACAAACGGGCAGAAATAAGAGAAAACGCTGTGTTCATCACACAATATTTTCCAGTAGCCGTGGTCGAACCGAAACCCTCTGGCGCAAGAGGCACCTTCGCCACCCACTACGCCAATCGTCTCTTAGGGCCTTACGGATTTCTGTCTCTTACGGCCAGGGGTCTGGTGCCGCTGCACAACGCGTGCTCTTACGGCCACTACGAGGTGACCGAGCTGCTGGTTCGCGCCGGGGCGGACGTGAACGCGACCGACCTGTGGGCCTTCACGCCCCTCCACGAGGCGGCGAGCAAGGCGCGGCTCGAGGTGAGCGGTTGTGCGCCTTATGTTGCTGTCGTTACGGTTCAGAATCGTGCAACTCGCTTCGGGGTGGGCGATTTCGAACTCAATTTTTTAAGGAAGCACACTCGTGTTGGGAAGCGTGCGGTTTTGTGCCTTACGTCTAAGGAGTTACGGTTCATAATGGTGGAGCCTGACGGCGGTGAGTGATTTCGAAGTCTGACTGTATTAACTGATGTTTGTGCTTTCATTCCCGAGACTATTAAAGCTTCATCTGACGCAGAACCGGTGGGCTAGCCTGAACCCACGGGTTTGGGCCCTCCGCTGTGGGTAGGGCCACGCATGTGCTCATGCGTACGTTTAAGTGTGGTATGTCATCTAAGGGCCATCGAGGTCGCGGTTAGGACCGAAACCCCGATGGCCGTCGACTGTACAATTAGCTAATCGGTGTCTGGGAGCGGTGAGAACCGCCCCGGAACTCGGGTGTACCTTGTGTACGCGTTGTGTTGGTCTCGCCGTGCTCGGAGGCGAGGGCGAACTAGTGTGTTTGTTGTTGCACTAACTGTGGGTGTAGTGTTTAAGTCTGACTTGAATGAGCGACGGTCGGTAATCGCAGAGCGACATTGATATGATCGGCCCTGTGCCTTGTCTGGAAGACTTTACGGTTCAGAATGGCGGAGCTCGGTTCGAGACGAGTGGTTTTGAACTGTATTTTGAAGGAGCGACGATCGGGAATCGCAGAGCGGCATCGCAGGTGAACCTGTCTAGAATGTGAAAAGATGGCTAGCGAGCTGTCGGTTCTATTCATATTAAGTGATAACCGTAGCGCATGGACATTTGCAGTATGGTTGACAGACGTTGCCATCTTTAAATAAAGTGGGCCCCGCATACCTCACTCGGCTGACGAAACGCAGAAGTGTAAAACTTCTACATCGCGCCGGTCTTCGCGTGAGGTCGCGGTACTTTCCCGAACGGACCTGCCCAGTCGTGTTGCGGGGTCCTATCACAGTTAAGGTCTAATTTGACGATGGCACGGTGTACAACCGCTAAGCGCTCATCGGGCCGATATCTTAGGCTTGATTTCAGTAATATGGTCACTGGATCACACTTACAGACATTCTAACTGTACGATGAGTGTTAGTGGACCATTTCACTGCTTGTGACGAAACCAAAGAGTTCCAATGCAGCCTACAGGATTGAACAACCGGGCGTTTGACTACTAATGAGAATGTCTGTGGAACTATTGCAATGAAAGTTACGTTTGGACGGTTGCTTGCATTCTTGCGTAATTAACTTAAAACTATTACTGGAAGTGTCCCTTTGCAGGTGTGCTCGCTCCTATTAAGCGAAGGCGCTGATCCGACCTTGCTGAATTGCCACGGCAAGTCCGCCCTGGACGTGGCGCCGACGCGCGACCTCCAGGAGAAATTGGCTTGTGAGTGTTTCCCAGTTTATTTATTTATCTATCTATCTATCTATCTATCTACCTACCTACCTATCTACCTATCTATCTATGTATTTATCTATCTATATATCGCTTGTAGCACTAGCGGAATATCATACCGATGCCCATATAAATACAGACCTGAATTTTTTAATATGCCAACATTAAAGCATCGAAGAACCGTTCACGACCTATTAATGCTACATAAAATTTTACATGTTCATACCTCATGCATTGAACTGCTAAGTAACTTTGCCCTAGCTGTCCCCTACAATCTCCCCCGACGCCCTATAACAAACTTTTCTGGACTCCTCCTCACAAAAGTAACTTGGGTCTACATGCTCCCATTCCGCGTTTCTGTAATTCTTACAAAGTCTTCTGTGAAGAACTACCCACAATGTATTTATTCCATTTAAATTTTATAAAATTTAAGAAATTAATATTGAGTCATGTCCATTAATGTATTTGTTATTAATATCATATAATTCGTTTTTAATTTAGATCATTGTATTCATTCAGTATTTTTGTAATTGCACTTTTGCTTGTCATTCTTTAATTTTTTTTTCTCAATTTTATTGGAATTATTTGCTGTTAAATATTTTGTATTAGTCTCGATTATTTTTGTATTTTTCTGAAACAATGCTGTGTCACCTATTAAGGTATATACATCAGAATTTTTTTTTGTTTAGACGTTGTAGGTATGTACTGCTGGTGTCCTTTAAATAAATAAATAAATATTTATTTATTTATTTAAAGCTCCCCACTCTAACCGTTTACGACGCCGTCGATTGACTGTAGTTTTCTGTTAGCTATGGGAAAATTTCATCTCTGAACTATTGAAACCTTGACTGTTCCCCGATTCACAAGCGAGCGCACATGTATTTATATGGAAAATCATAATTTATACATCAAATTCATTTATTCTTCCGAAATATTTCACTTGAATTAAAATTTATATTCCCGATGTTTCATGGTCAAAGGACGTTCTTTCGTATTTGTACTAAAGTTCCGATATTTTATCAACAACGGTATTAATGGTACGTATATAAATGAAAAATAACCAATTTCAATATCAATCGAAATATGTATACGGGATATTGCTATAATTTATTTGTATATTGTTAATTTTTTCTGTTTCAAAATTGGAGATCTTTTAAGATTTAAACACCAAAGTAAAATCAATTGATTATAAAGTGTACGTCTAGGTAACCTATATTTGTCAGATGTAGTTGGAAACATTTCACGTCAAAAACAAACATCATTAGTGTTGATTTACTAACAAAAACAAAAGTGATTCTGCTTGTCAATGTGTTGATGTAAACACGTTGAGTGATATTCGAATTCAATTTTTATCTCTTTGAGTTAAATACCTAAAATTGTTTGTCTTGTGAGTGTCTGGTGGTGGTTTCTGTGGTACTGGTAAGTGTTTTTAAGTTAACGTCCCACCCAACTTCCCCATGAGGGAATTGGACGAAGATAAACCCCCGGATGGGGGAGGGGGTCGCCCTCCCGATAATAAAATGGAGACAAATGATTCCATCGTAATTCCTCAATCAAATATTAATATGAACCGTAAGCGACCGGCAGAAAATATAGTAACCTCTGACCAAAAAAAAGTTGTCCCACCCTCAGCATCTTATCAATCGACATACTCAAAAAAAGGTTACGAAAGTGACTCTAAACTTGGTTACAGCGACTATGACAAAGCTCCATTTATCGTACACGTCACCAAATCTGAACCAGACTTGTCATCTGGCCTGTCAATCAGGCTATTAAAATTTGCACAACTATTACACAAACACAAAGTGCCAGGTATAGTAGAAGGAGGCATAAATACACTGGGGAGATACAGGATTTCCATTGATATTAAATCTTACTCAGAGGCCAATAACTTCCTATCTAATGATTTTTTACCCACAAATAATTTTATTGCTATTATTCCAAGATTCCATATAACTCGCAGTGGTTAAAAGTATTCCTACTGACTGGACTCTTGAAGAACTGATAGAGAACATAAAGACACCCTCCAATTGCGGAGAAGTTATTAGGGCTCGTCGACTCAACACAAAACTACATACCGATGACAAAATTACTTGGGTCCCATCTACCACTGTAGTTCTCACATTCTTGGGCCAAACTCTCAACACACTCTCAAAACTCTTTGATTCGATCTATCCGATCAACTTTTACTTATTTAACCATCCTATTGGCAACTCAAATGAGATTTGGGAAGCCATTTGACAGCTGATTGGTTAATCTCTACGATGATCAGTGTTTCAGAAACCGGGCGTTAGTGTTCCTATGCTTTTTTAGACCACGACTAAAGTCTTTTTTTACAGCCTTATTCTGTAGTCTTTTTACAGTCTATTTCTGTATGTCTTTTTTGTATATCCCTTTAGTCTTTATCCTTTCCTAATAACAGTGTATGGTTCGCTGCGTGGATCCAATCGGATTACGGTGGTAGGGCCACGCAACAGCCTCGGCTGTTGCACGAATGGGCAGGCCCGTCCGGGTAAGTACCACGACCTCACAGAAGACCGGCGTAAAGTGAAAGTATGACAAATACTTTCGCGTTTCGTCTGGTGAGTGAGGTATTTGGAGCCCAATTTTCAAAAGGTTGTCAACGCCTCTGTAACCGTCGGGTGTGGCAGATGTCCATGGACGGCGGTATTCACTTAACATCAGGTGAACCGTCTGCTCGTTTGACAAATTTTCGCATAAAAAAAATCGTAGCCCGAGGTAACATTAACATCAGGACATCCTTGTCTCCTCTCCTAAGTCTAGTCCTCCTATTTAGCTCTTTTCATTTCCGGCCATTGCCTTAAAACTTACTAGTCCTCCGCTTTAGTTTATTGCACTATTTCTGCTGGTGTATACGAAGCTTAGTTGGTACCAGAGTCGTGTAAATGTGTGACTTACTGCAGTAAATACTTCAGCGACTGTTACAGAAGAAAGACCTTATACGTGCCTTAAAATTGCAAAACTCATGGTGAAACACATCACAAGCTTACCAGTGATCTAAAGTGCAAATCCACTCACTAGACTTGATAATTTTGCTTCAGCTATATATCGCTTAATTGTTACACAAATCGTATAATGCCTAGAAGAAATTTGCGATTGTGAAAGAGTTTGGGCAGTAAAAAATTTAAATTGTGAATATTTACGATTAGTTCAGTAATCGTCGCCGCAACAAAAGCTATATGTTAATGTGAATTTTTTGTCACTTAATTTTCGGTTCGCCCAGACGCTCTAAACTGAGCTGGGATAGTTTATTAACAAAAATAATCGCATTTTGAACTGGTAGTTACAAAGTTCCTCCCATTCCAGTCGAGTACCGGGGCCACTGCCTCCTGGAGGCGTGCCGCCTCGCGGAGCCAGCTCGCGTCAAGAAGCAGCTGTCCGTCACCAACCAGCAGCAGACGGTGAGGAATTCTGGACAGCTCTGTAGCTGTTCCGACAGCTTTTTTTCTTTCTCAGCCTGTGGTTCGTTCGTACACGAGTGTGCGTGTGTGTGTGCAAATGAGCTGCACACGACTGAACACTTATCCTCGAAACGTTTTTGCGTTTTGGATCATGTGAGAAGGTGGCAAGCGGGCTAGCGGTTCACCTGATGTTGAGTGATAATCGCCGCCAGAGGATATTTGCAACATCGGCAGGGTTGCAGATGCCTTGCCATCTATAAATAAAGTGGGGATCGGTTACCTCACACACCAGACGTAACGCAGTATTGTAACACCTCCACTTCAAGCCGGTCTTCTGTATATTTATTAGTTGTCCAAAAGAACGAGAATCGATCAAGTGATCCGAAATTTCTATATAGTTCTTGAGTGGAAAAGCATCGTAGTGGGACGACCCCCATTGCATATGTGCGGGAAGTCAATGAATGCAGGAGGTCAGGATCGTACTTCGTGGCGCTCTGTGGAAGAGGCTTGGGCACGGCAGTGGACTCGTTAAGGCTGAAATGATGATGATTAAAAACCAGTGGGGCCTCTGTGAATCTTTTGTCAGCCCGTTTGCCCCCTGCCAGCCCCTCCCCCTCTCCTGTGGTATCCTCCCGATATGGGGGACGGCAGCCTCAAAGTCTGACCGTTCCAGCAGCAGAGTGGCCAGGGCGGCCACCTGAGCGCGGAGGGCGTGGAGGCCCTCGTGAACTTCGGCCACCTGGCCACCGGCGACCGACCGCTGCACTGCGCCGCGGCCAGCGTCTACCCCAAGCGGAAGCAGGTGGGCACGGCGTTAGACCAAAGGCCCGTAGACCGTGTACGTGCCTTCTCGTAGACGGCCTACGGTCCGATGGCCGTAGCAGCTAAACTACGACGTGGTATGAGTGGGGTTTCGTAGAGGCTTCTGCTGCACCGTTCGTTGAACGGCTATTCTCATATTCAGTATACCAACCTAGCACCAGGATTTGTAATATGTAATCAAGAAGTGATTGTGTACCGACACCGTGATCGTGACTTGAGTAAGAAGAACCGTAATCAACCCGAGTTCGAACCCGGTGCCGACACCTTTGAAATTATTAATTTTAACTGCTGTCTTATCACTTGCTCAGCGATGACGTGAGGAAAACCGGCTCATCTATGGAATAGTAACAAAAAAATATTTCGAACTGTAAAATTTAGGTATTTATGGATGACTACCGCGTTGTCAACAAATTCTGTTTTTAGGGAATAGAATGGTTTTTTTTTTTTTTGAAAAAAAGAAGTTTGTTTTTATTTCAGTTAATGATTACACTACCGGGTTTGAACCTCCTGTGTAAATTTGGGCACCTTTAAAAAAGTCTCCCTGTATAGGTTGTTATTTTACTTTACAAGCAAGAAACTGGAAAATGGCGGTACATCACTTCTATACTCTATATAAAGAGAACTTAAACATAATCCTTATCTAAATGTCGCATCGGTGCTTTGGCTACATAATGAAAAAAAGTTCAACTTAATTTGTTTATCTAACTATATGAAGCTGTTCATTGTATGCCCAAACATTTTTGTAAACTTGTATCATTTAAAAAAAAGTGATAACAAGATCTACCTTACTACTAACTTTCTTAACGGTTCTTCTCTGGCCAGGTCTAGTTTAGCGAATCGGTGGTAGTTTGACGTTCAATAAGATATTAAAATAAGCTTATATTGAATGAAGAAATTTTTACTGTGAATTATATTACGTTCACAATTTTATTTTTAAATAACAAAAAGCACAAAGCAACAGTATAAACATTCTGAATGTATCCCCGCGAATTGTTTCGGCCAGTGCCCTACGTTGACGTATTTATTTGCTCCAGGTCATGGAGATGCTCATAAGGAAGGGCGCGAGGGTAAACGAGAAAAACAAAGAGGGACAGAGTCCGCTCCACGTGGCGACGGAGCACGCGCACCTGGATGCCATGGACCTCCTTTTACGTCACGGTAAGTTGTGGTCCTTCCAGCCGGATATTCGGTTACGCATTTTTGCTGGCCGATTTTATATAGTGTTCCGAGGACCTTGCTTTTACTGAGATAGTGTTTAAGTTTTGTCGGTATGAAAATTTTCGGCCGGCTTATACCATTTCTGAACTGAAAGACAGACACCTCTATTGTCGCAGAACGATCAACCATTTACAAACAGTTTGCCCCATTATAAAAGGCCACAAGCCCACAACAAATCAGAATTTATTTATTTGTTTAACATAGTTTTTACAAAGGAGCTTATTTGTTTTTTTTTAAATTATTGTTAAAAAATAATTACTGTTAAATCTAACTGAATAAACTTAATTTATAGATCAATTGCTCCGAATCAGAGGTGCAATAATAACAAACAACTATATATAAGTATAAAAGCGATAGACTAATAATTTTTACTTCTTGTACCAAAAAAAAAACCCTCAAAAATGAGAGAAGCATTGCAACGGGACAGGCCCGTTTACGATCCTTCCCCAATAGACTAGTCCGCCCACCGTCGTCGCACTAACAGAACAGTGTACGATAAAAGGCGGGGAATCCCGGCAGGTGCCAAGGTGAACGCGTGCGACGCGCGCGGCGAGAGCGCCCTCTGCGTGGCGGCGCGGCGAGAGGCGGGCGCCGCGTGCCGGCTGCTGCTCGCGTGCGGCGCGGACGCCCGGGGGGACGCGCCGCAAATGCCGCAACTGCCCCAACTGCCCCAACTGCCGCAACTGCCCCAGATACCGCAAATGCCACAATTGACGCCCGAAGCGCCGCACGAGCTGCAGCACGAGCTGCAGCACGAGCTGCAGCACGACGCGCCCCGCGATTCCGACGGTGAGTTCAGTGCTTTTTTTTGATTCGTTCCAGTTGTTTGACCTAGATGGTAGAAACGATAAACGTGGGCGAAGAAAGGTCCTCGAGTGGCAGCCACGTATTGGTCATTGTAGTGAAGACGACCCCCCACTAGATGGGGTGGAGACCTGTGCAAGTGTGCGGGAAGTCGATGGTGGCTCAGGATCGGGCTTCGTGGCGGTCTGTGGAGGGGGGCTATCGTAGCAGTGGACTCTAACAGTCTGTAATGATGATGATTACGATTTACGATAGTTTCTGTTGTTCTACGGCTTTAGATTGATTTGTTGGTTTGAATTGTGTTTGGGTACTGTTTTATCGTACTCCATAAAAGGAATTTCATCGGCTGACGAAGCGATTTATGAGTAATGAGTACCAAATATATAAGAAGGTATTTAGATTTAAAAATCGTTTTTTTTATATAATTGAATATAAAGGAAACTTTTCGCTTGTCCTGATAATTTGTATCCCGTGCGAAGTTTTACCTTATTTAATGTCTTATGGAATGTTACCAAATAAGTGTTTATTATTTAGTCCTTGATATTTAATTTAGGACCAGGAGAAAGAAAATTTCACTTTTACGTAATTTTCTCTCCATTTTCTTCTTAATCCGTATCTTTAGTTGTCCATACCAAAAGCTAGTACATCGAGCACGGCTAAATTAGAAGCCCGTTTGCCTGAAAACGTTTCAACTTTAGGTTTGGATGAAACTGCACAGTAATATCCGGCTCGAAGGACCATTAAGTAAAGACCTAGAAGTTTGATGGCTTTTGTGAGTTTGCAGGATTTTTTTATTTTATGCGAGCAGGCGGTTCATCCTATGTTTAGTGATAATCACCGCCCATGGACATCAGCAACGCCCATGGATTAGCAGATGCGTTGCCACCCTTTAAAAAACCGGGCTCCGGTTACTTCACTCAACAGAAACAATACGAAAGTATAATACTTCCACTTTGTGCCGTCTACTGTGGGGCCGTGGTACTTCGACAAATGAGCCCGCCCATTCCCGCAAAACAGCAAAAGATACTGTGTGGCGCTACAGCGGGTGATTTTTTTTTATGTGAAAATTGCCAAACGAGCAGACGGTTCACCTGATGGTAAGTGAATACCGCCGCCCATGAACATTGCTACACCCGAGGGTTACAGATGCGTTGACAACGTTTTGAAAATTGGGCTCCGGCTACCTCACTCACCAGACGAAACGGGAAAGTATTTTTCATACTTCCACTTTACGCCGGTCTTCTGTGAGGTCGTGGTACTTACCCGGACGGGCCTGCCCATTCGTGCAACAGCCGAGGCTGCTGCGTGGCCCTGCCACCGTTTGCTTGTAGCAAATCAAATGTGAAATAAATAAGTACCAGAGTAGAATAAATGCCTTACCTTGTTAACTTCACTTGTTTTGACCACAAAATTGTTTTTCTCATTTTATTAATTCACAAAGGCACTTTCAACCGAATCCAAACAAGAAGAATTTTTGTTACTTAAAATTATTGTTTTGGTATTAGGTCATCCGATTAGCTCCCATATGGTACAATATTATTTTAATTAGTCTTCGAAGATACATCAGGGAATTCAAAAATCAAATAGAAAATACAAAGCGAGTTAGATATTGGAAGGCAGTTTTGTTTTTTGTTAACGAATACGCTTCACTTTTGTTACATAAAATGTGTCTCAATATTTGAAAGGATACATTGCGCGCCATATAATTTAACACCCTGGATGTATTTTTGCTTAATTAATAAAAAAAAAGACTTAAATAACCATCATGTAGATGGTTTTTGTTGATAAATGAAATTCCAGATTATTTCTATAAACTATAAACTATAATAAGCACACGAAAACCATTATTACATATTTAAAAAAAAAAACAGTTTTAACAAGGATGAAAAACTCTTTATTTTCCTAAAATAAATTATAAATATTAAATCGTTTTAAGCGCTTTCAATGCGATGAGACTTCAGGTAGGAGGGTCAACAAACAATATGGTAGTATGATACTATGTGGTACAAATATATACGGAGACCTGCCCATCCCACACGCGAAAGTCTATGGCAAGGATCGATGAGATTATAGCCAAACGAATCCCGCTCGACCACAAGCGCAACTAAAGTTTACTTTCCTGTATCCTTGAAATGATGATGATGATATATATACATATAGAGCTTCACATCTGATATATGCGCACAAATACTCGATGAAGTTAACCAACCAACCAATTAGACGTGTTTGATCCCAGCCAATAGCGACGGGCCTCACTCCTCGCGCTTCGTCCCCATCCCCCACAGGTCCGTACCGTCGCCCGTCCTGCCCGCCCTCGCCCTCACCAGTTCGTCCGGCACCGTCTTCATGTCGTAAGCCCATCCGACCCACGCGAAGAAGTCTATGAAGCCGGTGGTGAGGTTCAGCCAGTTGTTCCCGAGCTCCGCAGTGCGGTAGTCCCACGGGAACACGTGGTGGTAGTTGTGGAAGCCCTCGCCGAACGCTATGAACGAGACCGGTATGCTCTGGACGGGCTTTATGGACCTCTCGTACGGCTTGTTGCCCCAAAGGTGGGCGGCGCTGTTCACGAAGAAAGTGATGTGGAGGTTCATGACGTAGCGGAACAGCGCGATGTGCCACGCGGTGTTGAGCGTCTCCCCGAAGACGTACATCGGGATCAGGGTCGGCAGGCCGAAGCATATCGTGCCGATGAAGGGCACCGCGTACCTGGAATTGTCGAGTAGGGGGTTGCGTTACTTGAATTACTCGTATTAATGCTACGTGTTCCTTATACGCAACAAATTTTGGAATAACAAACAACATTAAGAGTTCGCAATGAGGATATCAGCTGTAGAACAAGATAATCCACTTAGCCCCATATAGCTCGTGGAACGGATGGCCGATGGAGAAGGAAGGTTTTCGAAATGCTGCGTCGTACTGGCAATCACAGTGAACGATGGCCTTGCTATGACGAGCTGTGCAAATTTGGGGGAAGTCGATGAACAGGTGGCTCAGAATTGTGCGTCGTGGCAGTCTGTGCGAGAGGCCTATATTTAGCAGAGGACTTGAACTAGCCGAAAATATCAAGATAATGATGAAGATTGTTCAATGGTGGAGAAAACTATGAACTTGTAGAATAGCTTCAACTCACACCTTTTCGACGAGTTGCTATTTTAAAATGTAGAAAAAACATAAAGCATGCCCAAATCCATTCCATAATGAACGAACGCGAGTAGTTTTCGTTTCAACATCCAATTCGGCGGTGCTCACTTTTTCTGGAAGCGGAGCACCGGGTTCGCGTAGATGTCGCTCATGTCGATGTACTTGCCGCGCCTCTTCACCTGCTCGTGCTTCCTCACCAGCAGCCAGCCCATGTGGGAGTAGAAGAAGCCGCGGGTGGCGTTGTGCGGGTCGGCGTCCGTGTCGCTATATCTGAAAGGATTCCCCCCTCAACACTTGCGTTGTGGGCCGCGATTTAACCGAAACAGGTGGCAATGTACCAGATCTGGGGTATTATTGTTGATTTAACTGTAATAAGTGCTAATGTTGGGTACATTCTACACATCTAGGGCGTTGCTGTTCTATTTTTGTTGATTGTGCTTGTTTCTTCAACCCTGCTGGAAAGAAAATCTAGAACTCTTTAAGCTGGGTTTGGTTTTAGATGAGTATAGCGTCTCTGAAAGAATTTCCCCTCAATGCCCTTGCGGTGTAGGCCTCGATTTAACTGAAGTAAGTGCCAATGTACCAAATCTAGGGTATTGTTGTTCCATTTTGTCGTTTTGTCTTGGTCTATCCATGCTGGAAAGAAAAACTAAATTCCTAGCTATGCTCTGATTTGGATAAGTATAGCGTATCTGAAAGATTTTCCCCATAAGTACACTTGCCGTGTAGGCCACGATTTAACCGAAATAAGTGGCAATGTACCAAATCTATGGTATAATTGTTCTATTTTTATTGATTGTGCTGGTCTATCCATGCAGAAAATTAAATCTAGAGTCCTTTTAGCTAGACTTTGTTTCGGATAAGTATTAATCGATGACGATAATCAGAAACCCATCTTAGGCGCGAAGGACACGATTGGAACAGATGTTGGATTAGTCAGTTAAGAGTTCTAACAGCATCCAGCAATGTAGCAATTTGCAAGCTAGAACTTTTCCCATCCATACAGCATACGCTGATCTCTCATTCATGTAAGTTGTAGGGATGGGAAAGATTTAACTCCTCAGTTAATCGTATTCTATTCGTACCTGTGATGCATCCTGTGGTCGCGCACCCAGTCAATGGCCGTGTTCTGGAAGGCGAGCGAGTTCATCACCACCAGTATTATCTGCAGCGGCATCTTCGCCTTGTAGGTTTTGTGTGTCCACAATCTGTGCGCGCCTGCCGTCACACCGATCGCGGCGAACACGAAAAGAATATAACCTGAAATTTTCGACACGTAAATGTGTGACGTGCAAAACACGTAAAAGCTAAAAATAGATCAAGAGTCAAAATATAATCTGTCAAAGTCGAAGTAAACTTCAAGCTATTGTCATGAAACAATCTTCAACCGTAACATAAAGGAGTAATGAGAATAACCGATTAGAAGTTGTGGTCAGATATATTTAATTGGAACTAAGTTCTGTAACGCGGCTTGCTTCCTATAAATCGCCGCGTAACGAGAAATCGTCATGTCCTTCCATTCGGGTACTATCCATACATGTATTTAAATATATTATTAAATAATTTGGTACTGTGGCATATGATACATATAGGTACTGATATCTGAGACATGTGTGCAATTAATTCTTCTTACATTTTAGCATGTCCCATCTGATTAAGAACATCAGTGTGCCAATCATCAGCTTCATGAGACCTGTGCAGACTTCGTGAACTCTAAACGTGTCCTATGCGTTTACGCATCAAGAAGTGACTAAGATTATACACTGTGTCCTGCGTTGTATCAAAAGGTTGAGAAAGTATCAGGTGAAGAATGAGTAGGCTTTTGTTTAGAGCGTCAGCGAGCGTCACATCAAATATTTGGACATGACTTAAGTGTATTTTTCGGAAAAAAAAGTACGTGGTGTTTTAAAATTTCTCATGGAAATTACTGAACCCAATGCGACTAAAACTTAATCTAAGCTGTAAAAGCTACTTACTGAAGATAATCGTAGACCACGTAGCTGTCGTGCAGGCCAGGTAGAAGCCGTAGAGCGCGGCGGCGTGCCCGTAGCCGAACGTGAGGATGTTCCTGTATACGATGTCGTAGCGGCGGGGCGCCGCTTGGGGCGCCACCAGTTTCTCCAACTCATCGGCCTCCGTTGTCAGAACTTCCACTGAGGACACTTCCGGTGCCATGCTGAGTTAAGAAAGGGAATGAAGATAACGTCACTTCCCGTTCAATACTGCATATATTTAACCTTCAAATATGATAGCTCGCGGAACTTAAACCTGCCCAAAAAGGGGTAAATTATCTCGACATGCTGGTTGCTAATATTGGTCCTTGAAGCCGGACACAAGTTAGAGTTCCGGTCCTAATGTGGAGACTTGTTTTATGAATTATAGTTTTTCAAATTTAAATATCTTTATTCACTTATTGACTGTCATAATTGTTCGGTACTGGTTCGGAAAAGATTAGCGACTGACCTGAGGAGAACTGACGAAAGAAACTCAGTGCGTCACTTTATTTTTTTTAAAGAGCTAGGAGCGATCTAGTAATTGCCAGAGTGTATTATCATTTAAATAATCACGTATATTATCATAACCTTTAACGTACAAACGTTCATTTAGATTTTTTTGAATTTAGAAACTTTGAATTGAACCTTGGATTTATTTTCGGCCACATATCAAAACTGGCTCGAGAGTGTCAGTTTAGTTCACTGTTTCTATTAATACCAGGAAGTTCTGGTTATAAATGAGTCGACAGAAACGAAGTAGATGCTTCGCCGTTATTAAATACTATAAAGTGACAACTCGCAAGTTATGACGATGCTTGGAGTTCATTAAATCGTTCTGTTGTTGTGTAATTGGTGCTCTGCGAGCGGACCTGCTCATTCGTGCAACAGGGAAGGCTGTTCCGTGGCCCTACCACAGTTAACAGTTAAGGCCATTTACACGATGCCATTTTCTTGTACATCCAAGAGCAACAATTGAATGCAATAAGTTGCACGCAATAATTGACCATCAAGAATTGTAAGCAACAGTTTACACGCAGATATAGTAAAAAAATTGAATGCGATTATTGAATGTCTTGACAAGAAATAATTGCAAATGTCTTTTGTTTACACCAATGCAATTATGTTTAGGCGATTATTGCTTTCAAGTTTTGACTTGTCTAAACACATGCTTGTATGTGCGTGTACAATTTATTGGCGTGTTGCTTCAAGTATTGCACGTATTTGCGTTGACAAATTTTTCATGCATTGAACGTTTTACAAAGGGCTGGTTTTTTTTAAAAAAATGGCTCAATAACAAGGGTTCAAGTTAGATTACTCCGATTAAATATATTTCATTGAGATTTATTTATTATGATCCATATATTATTCATATTTTTATCAAACTTTTTTTACAACCTTTTCTCAATATTTCTATCCTCAAAAAAAAAACAGCAACGATTAAATACCCTCACTCATTGCACTATTTTTTGCAAAGGAAGAGAGAATGCAATTGAATACAAGAATTGCTTAAGAAATTATTGTGTGTGCTGATTACACTAAGGAAAGTTTTGAAACAAAACTTGAAACAAGTCTTGTTCAACAGTCAAGAATGTTATGTGCTGTTTAGACAATGCAACTCATTAATTGCTTCAATTTAATTCTATATAACAGGCAAGAAACTTGCACCGTGTAAATGGGCCTTTAAAGATGCCGAGACGAGCACTAAAACTTAAAGATTCAATAGCAAAGACGACATCAATAGGTTTCAAATATGCATCGTAACAATGTAATTTCAGAAAATGTGTTAAGTAAAACGAATCAGATGAGATAGTGCTAATCATTGCCAAAAACACTTGGAGATTTCCAGGCGGTAAGGATGTCGACCGCTTATCTTAGTGGCTAGAGCGTTAGACGCGAAATTAGGGAGGCGCTGGTTCGAATCAAAACATCTAAACATTTTTTAGCGTTTATCTCGTTACGACGATAAAAATTGTAGATTTATTGCTTTTAAACAAGTAAAATTCTGATATGTTATTAAAGTATATAATAGCTGCAGTGGAGAAAAAAAATCAACCAATACATTGTTATTCGGAATTATAATTGATGAAAGAAAAACACTAACATCGCAATTTATCGCAAACAATGGAAAGCGTGCTGGGGAAACAAGTTGGGAAACAATTTAGCTGCTAGATTGTACTCATTAAGATTTTATCCTGTACACTAATTACGGCGAATAACACTGCATTATAGTGACTCCGATAAAAGTGAAGTTACAATTGTCAGGCTATACACGTTCCACTTCTGGGCAAAGGTCTTTACACAGGTTATAAGAGCATAGTCCACCACGTGTATTGGCGATCTTCACATAATTATCGTCGAAGGATCTTTATCAAATAAACGTATCAAATATATGCAGGTTCCTCACGTTTTTTTCCTTCACCGCTGATCGCGAATTATTCAGCACTTAAAATTAGCAATTTCAATGGTGCCGACACCGTGGATCGAACTCTGGTTACTCGAGTATATTGGCGCAGTCACCAGTGTATCGGATTCGGCGTCGGGGCTCGTGGGCTCGATTCCCACGCGCGACAACTATTTGTGTGACCCACAGATAGCTGTTTCGCATCGGGGTGTTTGTCCACGATAAAATTATGTTTGTATAAGCAATGATTTAAAAAAATTAAAAAAAACAAAAGCGTGCGTCGGGACACTGAGCACGGTTACTGGAGGTCATTTCCAATCACCGATCTGCTAATATAAGTTTTTTCACAGCCAAACGTAAAGATAACAATAAAAATAAAGACGAGTCATCGTTTTTAATGCTGCAACAGCGTTTCTCGAACTTTTTTCGTGTACTTTACGAAAAATTGATTACCCATCGCCCCTCTGAAATTCTTCGTCTAGTACGTAGAAATGTTCAACGAACTTCACGAATGAGTGAAATGTCTGGACAAGTGTGCCTGAAATAATTTTCAACATGCCGTTACAAGCTCTTTAAAGACCAGCCAGTGGATGTCTTCGTTGTCTCTTGAACATGGGCCTCCCTAAGAACGCCACAACGAACGGCACTTCGCCATTGACGTGGCCTCTAAAAGCTGGCCTTTTGGAGATGAACAGAGTCTTCGAGAGCATTGGAGAGAGCTATGCTCGGAGTTTCGAGGAACGAGGAAATTCGCCGAAGAACCGGAACCCCCGGACATAGCTCTCCAGATCTGTAAGTGGCAGAGGGCGGGCCATATCGCTCGAAGAACTGATAACCGATGGGGGGTAAAGGTTCTCGAGTGGAGACCACGAACTGGAAGACGTAGCGTTGGAAGTCCTCCCTCTAGGTGGACCAACGACATCGTAAAGTCGCGGGCAATCGCCTTAGACAAGCTCAGCGACCTGGGGGGCGGTACCGCCCGCTTTGAGGACTTTTGTACAGTACAAGGGAACCCTAAAACGGTACAGTGTACTTTTACAGGGTTGTAGAAGGATGTGTGGGAATGTCTCGTGCTCTGCACTTGTACCCTGGCTGCTGCTGGTTTTACAATTAACTAGTGTTGTAAATATCATTTTAATAAAATATCTAAGCGCGCTGAGTTTCGTGAACGGTTCTTGTCTGGACTTCTGCTAAATTAGTGAACCGGTGGTAGTTTGGGGACTCAATATGAGCTTATAACAAGCCCGTGTTGAATAAAGAAATTTTGACTTTGACCTTGAAAATTATGTACTCATAATAACAAAACCGGCCAAGTGCGAGTCGGACTCGCGCACGAAGGGGACCGTACCCTTATAATTAACATATCCTTACTAATATTATAAACGCGAAAGTTTGTACGTCTACAGGGCGGCTTTTCTAAGTGTGTCCATTTTTTTTATTAAATTCTAGACATAAATAATGTTATCTAAAAAATTATAAATATTAAAGATCACTCGTAATTAATTAAATACATTCATTTGAAGTTATCTCAAAAAGTGCTTGATTTATATTCATATTTAACACGCACACAAGTTCCGTTTTTTTAGGGAATGGATTTTTTTTTAGAAAAAAAGTTTGTTTTTATTTCAATAATCGACTTTACTACCGAGTCTGAACCTCCTGTGTGAATTTGGGCACCTTTAGAAAGTCCACCCTGTGTAAACGGAAAAAAAATCATGTCCGTTCTATAGGACGTCACTTAAATATTTTTTTATTGTTTTTTAGTATTTGTTGTTATACCGGCAACAGAAATACAAAATGATGTGCACAAAAACAAATTTCAGTCATAAAGGGGGCTTTTATTTTTTTTTTTATGCGAGAAAGTGGCTTGACCTTTAAATAAAATGGGCCTCGGCTACCTCACTTACCAGACGAAACGTGGAAGTGTAACACGTGTACTTGAAGCCTGGAAGAAATTACTCTTAGTAATAAGGCCGCCCATTGTACCCATTACTTCTTTATTAAGTTTTAATTTTTGTTTGTTTTATTTTTGGTGTGCAATAAAGTATATTCATTCATTCATTCATTCATTGAAGCCGGTGTTCTGTGAGTTCGTGATACTTCTACGGACCTGCCCATTCGTGCAACAGCGAACACTGTTGCGTGGTCGTACAGCAAAGCTCACAATTATACAAAATTCCATACGGAACTCCCTTCTTGAGTCCGATTCGCGCTTACCTATTTTTTTTTTACATCGATAACCTCACGCGTTCTCGCACACAGCGTTTTGTATTATACTTACGCCCGGTTTCTGAAACACTGATCATCGCAGATGTCAACTAATCAACCGTCAAATGGCTTACCAAATTTAATTTCAGTTACGGTTGGTTAAACTCTTTGAATTGACAAGAATGATCTTCTTAATGATCGGAATGATGAACTCAAAGAGTTTAACCATCCTTTCGGTAACTAAAATTAAATTAAGGTAAGCCATTTGACGGTTGATTAGTTGACATCTTCGATGATCAGTGTTTCAGAAACCGGGCGTTAGTTTTTTATTCATTGCGCAAATAATCTATGCTGAGTTGTTTTTTTAAAGTTTGAGCTCACCGGCACTTATTTTATACTATCGTCATGTACTTGTTTCTTAATTGTGCTTTAATTTTTGTTACTTAAATGACTTCGCGGAAGACGGACAGTGATGAAACAAAAAAAAAAGATGATTTCTCGTGTTATAAAACTGGTAAAGTGAAACATGGACATATTGGATTGTATATTATGTGCCACTGCTGGGCAAAGGCCTCCTCTGTGGAGAGAAAATTTGGGCACAGTTCACCGCGCAACCAGCTGTTTAGGTTTCCGTACTCAAAGGGTAAAACAACCCTATTACTAAGACTCCGCTCTCTGTCTGTCTGTCTGTCTGTCGCAATGAACCGTGATAGTTAGACGGTTGAAACTTTCACAGATGATGTATTTCTGTTGCACCTATAACAAAAAATACTAAAAAACAGAATAAAAAACAGACACGATTTCTTTTGCCGTTTTTATAGATAGTGCTAGGGAACACTTTATTTTTTTACGTGAGGCAAATCGCGGGAGTGGCAGGGCAGGAACGGGTGCTAAAAAATAATAAACCCACGTTGCACCTGTCTCTGTCGCATCAGCAGGGGACACAGGAACACGAAGCAATCTGCCACGACCCTGGCACGACTATGGCCTTCTTGGGCCTCCTCTTCTCTGGTGCCACGTTACCCAGTCGGGCTAAATAGTGCTGTGCCGGTGCGACCACGCGACAACCCTATGGTTATACTCCTCCCCCTACCTCCCTCCCCTGGTCTGTACTCACATTGTGAAGTAAAACTTCTACTGTAGCACGAATAACCTGGACGACGCGCGTCCGGGGAAGTTGTACAACCTCGCAGAAGACCTGCGCCAAGTGAGCCATACTGGAGCTTTTCATCTGGCGAGTGAACCAACCGTGGCTCACCTTTATAAAGGCTGTGAACCCATTTACAACCTCTCGGTTGCGTCAGATTTCCATTCAATTAAAATATCTTTATTCAAACAGACGCTTGCGCGTTCTTATTAAACGTCGAATTTTACGTAATAATCGATATGTAAGTTCGTAAGTTACCACCGGTGCGGAAGGCAGTATCTGTTGAGAAGAGACCATTGACAGTGGTTATCAGTTAACATCAGGTGAACCGCCTACTCTTTTGACTTCAACTTCTCCTTTAAAAAACGTATTGCTTACTTATATGCCATCGACCGAGCGAATGGAAAACACCATCGATCGTCTTTATAATCTCGTCATTAGTTACTTTTTTGCTCCAAGTGATGTTCGATAAAGATTGGAGGTTTTTATTAAATACGATTGACGATAAACGTCAAGTCTTTTTTGGGCGGCCTCGCATGTGGTCGAAGTTCAACCGGAAATGTTTGCGAGGGGTTTTCCCGCTGTGGTGGTATGTGACCACTGCCCGAAGGCCGCTCCAACATAGTTGAGGCTGCAATCGCCTTAACACTCACACCTTACCACACGCTAAGAGATTGGGCACCGAACTCAATCTTGGTACGTGAAGCAAACCTTACGTTATACATTATATGTTACTGTGGTGGAGCTCTGCAACAGGTTTCGATGTTGCACGAATGGGCAGGTCCTTCCGTGGAAGTACCACGGTCTCACAGAAGACCGGCGTGAAATGGAAATGTTATATTTCTGCGTTCCGTTTGGTGGGAGAGGTAACCGGGGCCCACTTTATTAAGAGGTGGCAGCTCATTTGCAACCCTGCGAGTGTTGCAAATGTCAATGGGCGAAGGTTATCACCTAACATCAGGTGAAGCTATTATATAATTTGTTATAAATACATTAATATCAATAAACAAACGACAGTTAATTTATTATTTTATAAAGCAGCATAAAAGTACTGCTATGAAAGCTGACAACAGGGCTTAAGTACGTACTGTAGGAACATTTTCGTTTTCATAAACATGACACACATTTGCACAGTGTACCAAATGCAAAAACTCTAATAACCCTAATAACACTCATTCAGAATTTGTCCTTTAATCGCAGACAATCACTATTTTCGTTTACGAAACAATATAGTACTGTGCATTTTTTTTCTGAATTCATAAAAACCCATGCAATTTGTAGAGTTAAAGCCAGGCACATCACCTGCTCGCGTGACAAATTTTCACATAAAATCCGGCCAAGTGCGAATCGGACTCGCGCGAGAAGTGTTCCGTACCATCCTTACTCCTTACTAATATAAACGCGAAAGTTTATATGTATGGATGGATGTTTGTTACTCTTTCACGCAAATACTACTGAATGGATTTTAATGAAACTTTACAATAATATAGCTTATACATCAGAATAACACATATAACACGTAGGCTTTAATATATAAAGATCTTGTGTGAATTGTCCAAAATATGTAATGCTAATGATAAGTCTGAACTAAGTAGGAAAAAATTCAGCCATCTGCGAGATATTCTGGTGTAAAATAAAAAACTCATTGTTAATTCCCTTTGGTTAACAGTTAATTATCTATAAAAACGGCAAAAAAAATCATGTCTGTCGCATTGGAGACCCACTTAAATATTTTTTATTCGGTTTTTTAGTATTTGTTGTTATAGCGGCAACAGAAATGCATCATCTGCACATCGAACAGACAGACAGACAGACAGCGGAGTCTTAGTAATAGGGTCCCGTTCCACCCTTTGGGTACGGAACCCTAAAAAAGGACGAAAATTTGTTGAAATGAAACTACTTGTATGGATTTATCGCGTTTGTTTTTAGTTTTATTTTCCGACATTGCGAAAACTTTTCATCGTTCATGGTCACGGGACAGACCGTAAGAATAGTTTCATTTAGTAATGTGTAATAGCGTAAATACAAGTAATTATTATCTTCTTCATCTATCTCCTGTATCTATTTATATTTAAGAGATTTTCACCGATAATTGACTCATCACGATATCTCTGGAGCCATAAGGCGTGTAGAGACTTGAAATTTGGTAGAAACATTCCTTTCGCCGAATAGAGGAAGAAAATATAAGAACGGACTTTACGAAATTCCACAAAACAACGTTTGCCGGATCAGCGAGTTATGTATATATAATTCTTCTGTACGTGTGTATGTCACTGAACTCCTCCTAAACGGCTGGACCGATTTCAATGAATTTTTTTGTGTGTCTTCAAGTCATCCGTAGGGTTGCAAATGCGTTGCCACCTTTAAATAAATTGGACCCGGCTTCCTATTACTCCAGACGAAACGCAGAAGTAACACTTCTACTTTACGGCGGTCTTCTGTGAGGTCGTGGTACTTAACCGGACGGACCCATTCGTGCAACAGTGTACAGTTGTTGCGTAGCCCGACCACATCTGTATAGATAGATAAACACCGACACTAGAAAAACACAAGTTCGTCCCACAATATTTTTCCAGTAGTGGGGATCGAACCCACGACTTCTGTCGCCAGCGGCGTGTTCACTGCAACGATCGCGTATGATCTAGGATTTAAATAAAATAAAACAACACACTCACTTCCTATCCCGGCTCCCGAAGAAGTCGCCTATATAGGTATCTTCCTCCGCGTCGTAGCCGACGATTTTTGGCGGCACTTTAAAAAAATATATAATTTTTTTTTTCGTGTTCTTGATTGTTAATCACGCGAGGCGTCCGTCTGCACGCCGCAATTGCTCCGAGAACTTTGGAGAGAATCCGAAACAGACTAAGCGCGCGCGCCGTTTCCCGCGCTATTTTGACAGATCGTTTTTTTTTTAAATTATCCATTCAAAAGGTAAAGACGCGGCGAATTCCACGCCGCGGCAGTTGTAATATTCCACTGTCATAGTGGAATTACATTTGATGGAACAGACAATAGAGGACGTGGCCGATTTTTTTCACAGCTCTGTCACGGATATGACAGCAGACGATTCTGTTGTCGTTGACTTGTCGCAAGTGATGGGACAGGGACAAGAGTTTATGGTTCTCTCTCGCCCCAATAAACTTGACCTTAGTCTTTGTCTAATTTTTGGTATCGTCGTCTTGCCAGTAATCCGTAAAATAGTTTCATTTAAAATTGTGCTATGTTTACATATACACAAGAAACAAACATGTATAAATACTAGCGAACCGCCCCGTTATCGCACGTATGCCAGAGCGTATGCTCCTAAAATTTTCCCTTCCATTCCAACATCAATAATCGTCGTCATGCTTTAGCCAAAGAACACGAAACCCTAATGAAGTACACGTGTAAACCTGCCACGCGGGTCATACTTTCTGTCTGTTACTAAAACCGCTGAGAATCCGTTTAGTGCCACTCATCAGTCTCAGCTGTTGCACGAATGGGCAGCTTCATCCGGGGAAGTATCGCGACCTCGCAGAAGACCGGCGTGAAGCGGAAGAATACTTCTCCGTTTAGTCTGGTGAATGAGGTAATCGGGGCCCGCTTTATTGAAAGGTTGCAGCGCATCTGCAACCATACGGGTGTGGCAAATTTCAATGGGCGGCGGTTGTCACTTAACATCAGGTGACCCGCCTGCTCGCTTACTACCTTCTAACGTAAAAAAATCATGGCTCAGGATCGATAAGTGGCGGTCTGTGTGGGGGGCCTGTGATCAGCAGTGGACTCAAACAGGCTGAAATGATGATGATGGTTTTTCGAATTATCCATACAAATCATTAACATGCTTTTTGCTGGCGCCAAAACAGCTGATATTCAACACTTTATGGACCGCGATGGCAATAATAATTCCGTGACCAACACACGATAAACTCCGTCATGAATCGTGTCGTAAAAAGTGCATTTTTAACGCGCGGCCGTTTTATAGATACCACGCATTAGTTTACGACTGTCACGATCTCGCGACGGCCAGCAGTGGGAATGTTTACTATATGTTTGTACTTGTCTCTTCCGCTAAGTGAGGTAGCCGGGATGAATCCATTTATAGCCGAGCATCGAGCCCTCGATGCCTCTGCCTTTGCTGATGTCAATAGGAAATTGTAAATTGTCAAGCTTCTACAACAAAATCCCAGTAAATGCACAAAGCCTGCCTATTAACGGGTTTAAGAAATTTATTGAAGAAAAACTATAAAAAGGGTTATTGTTGTGTATCTATTTGGGCTGGGAACTAATAACCGATCAATACTTCGAATAATTTGTCACAATAAATATCGGCTCGCTGGCTTGCGCACACGTCTTCACACCACTGTGGTCCGAGGTGAACTGGTGACCACTAGGGTACTACTACCCTCCACATATTGGTGCCCCGCGCGTACGCAGCCGGAGACGACAGTCAACATATATACTTATTTATTTATAATTAATGTATATCTATTTAAGTATATATACTATTTCTGCATATATACTACACTTATTAAATTATGTCTATTTATGTATGTATGTGATTTCTACATATACACTACAGTTATTATACTATAAATGAATACATTAATGACTAATGGGTATTGATCGCTCTCAAGACATTTCTAAAAGTGAAAAAATCAGATGTATAATATTTAAATGCTTCAAGAAAAAATTACAAAAAAGAGGATAACTACGGAGTTTCTTTCGGCTGTTTCTTCTCCCTGAGAGGAACCTCATTACGAAACGATGGTTGATTTAAAAAAAAATACTATCGGAAGATGAAATGTAGTATATTTCTAGTGTCGATGAATAAATAAAATAATAAATATTTTCGGAAACATTTTTAAACAACGTTCTTTAGTCCCGTGAGCCGTGATAGCTCAGTGTCCGGGCGCTCGCCTTAATTCAATATACTCGAGCAACCTGAGTTCGATCCCCGGTGCCGGCACCAATGAAGTTTTTAACTTTAAGTGCTGACTTATCACATGCTCCGCGGTGAAGGAAAACATCGTGAGGAAACCTGCATATTTTCGAAATAATAACAAAAAATATACATTTCGAAGATATGTGAAGTCCGCCAATCCGCAGTGGGGCCGCGTGGTAGACTATGCCCTGTTACCCTCTGTATAGAGGAGGCCTTTGCCCAGCAGTGGGACATATATAGGCTGTTACTTTACTTTTACTTTTCTTTAGTCCCAAACTAAGCAAGCTACTACGGGTACTTGAAAACTGATATACATATTTTTCTTCTTCAATTAAATAAATATTATACATATATAAACACCCAGACACTGGAAAAACACTATATGTTCATCACACAATCAGTTAGTGGGGATCGAACCCACACCCTCTGGCGCAAAAGGCAGGTTCACTACTCCACCACGTGAGCCCGCTGCGGATTGGCGGACTTCACATATCTTCGAAATATTCATTATTTATATTATATTTTATTATACATTTTTTATGTGAAATGTTGCCAAACGAGACGGTTCACCTGATGGTAAGTGAATACCGCCGCCCATGGACATCTGCTACACCCGAGGGTTGCAGATGCGTTGACAACCTGTTGAAAATTGGGCTCCGTATATGCAAGTATCCTGGCGATATTTCCCTTCACCGTTGAAGACGTGATGGTATAGCATTTAACCATCATTATGAAGATCATTCAGATCAATTCAGAGAGTTTGACCATCGTTTTGGCAACTCAACTGACATTTGAAAAGCCGTTTGACGGCTGATTAGTTAACTTAGATGACCAATATTTTTAAGACAATAATGTTCATGATATAAATACTAGGAACAAAAATAAATTGATCCTACCCACAAGTAGACTGCGTAAAATAAGTAAATCTTTTATGGGACAATGTATACGTTATTACAACAAAATTCCAGAAAACGTTCAAAATGCATCAATAGCTAATTTTAAAAAAATAGTAAAAGAACGTTTGTGTGTTAAAGGCTGCTATAATATTAATGATTATTTAAATGATAACACACTCTAGTAATGAACTGATCGCTCCAGGCTCTTTCAATCGGAGTTCTTATATTGTATTTTTAATGAATTTATGTCAAACTGCTTATTTAAAAAAAAAAAGCACGCTGAGTTTCTTTCGCCGGTTCATCTCAGTACAGTGGCTTTAGTTTTTTCCGAACCGGTGGTAGTATCTTGTATCTTGTATTAACTGATATTTTTGCTTTCAGTCCCGAGACTATTAAAGCTTCATCGGACGCAGAACCGGTGGGCTAGCCAGAACCCACGGTTTGGACCCTCCGCTATGGGTAGGGTCGCGCATGTGCTCATGCGTGCGTTTAATTATGGTGTGTCATCTAAGGGCCGTCGAGGTGGCGGTTCGGACCGAGACCCCGACGGCCGTCGACTGTGCATTTAGCTAATCGGTGGCTGGGAGCGGTGAGAACCGCCCCGGAACGCGGGTGTACCTTGTGTACGCGTTGTGTGGGTCTCGCCGTGCTCGGAGGCGAGGGCGAACTGGTGTGATTGTTGTTACACTAACTGTGGGTGTAGTGTTATCCGGCGGGACCCCCGGCGGTGGGTCCATCGTATCTAAGTCCTCTTCGTCGACCGGGTCGATGAGGACGTTTCGCGGGCGACGCTTGTTTACGTTAGCGTTAGTGTCCGGTAGGTAGTTTGCTGCGCTTACCACCAGAGGGTTGGGATGATGCTGGACTCTATCGAAGAACCGTTTTGTCAAATCTTTAAAATGTGCGCGAATCGTCGGGAGTCTGCAATCGCTGTGCAGGTCGACGTTGCGCTGATACCACTGCGCACCGGTTGCGCGGCGGATGAACTTATTTTGTACTATTTGCAACTTGTACAAGCGAGTAGGGTGCGTGTACCGGTGGTAGTGTTTTGACTATCAATAAGTGAGTGTAATGCTCCGATGTTGAATAAACACATTTGATTTTGATTTTGAATGTTTCAGAAACCGGGCCTAAGACCCGGAATCATTATTTGTGGGTCAAGCAAATACTTGTGCCCCTTTGGGAATTTAACCTATGACCCCTCCCCCCTGTATAATTTTTTAACAGTATGATATGCCATGTAGAAGTTTTGAGCCACTGTCTTTTTATCCACAACACCCGAGGACTCGCAAATGTGTCTGGCGATTAACATGATGTTAAATTATAACGCCGCCCATTGACGTCTGTGGCACTCGTAGGGTTGCAGATGCGTTGCCACCTTAGTTAAGTATAGACTTAAAACTTTCGGTGCAGCGCAGGATTCGAATCTGCGTCTTGCTGGTAACGTGCCCAGACGTTTCACCGACTGAGCTAAGCGGCCAATGACCTCACGGTGCCGAAGTGTCTACGTCTTGGCGCCATCTAGCGGGCATACTTTACAAGCGTTAAGCACCATATAAATTACATTTGACATATAAATCTTGTACAGCGGACGGAAAAACATTGGATGTGGAAAAGCAAAAAAATACCGCCAATCTCACATTATTACCCGCTAAAACGATAATGGCGGAATCCGGACAATTGTCTCGTAAACACCGCGTAATGGGGCAAAAGACAATCGTCGTTCTGCCAACGCAACGGCTCAAGGCAATCGATGTGATTGCTGAATTGTTTTTTTTTTTTGAAGTAAAACTTATTTAGATGCCACTAATGGGTAACTGAATGCTTTGGACGAAGACAATTCAACGGAAACGCGTTTATGTAGCATCCGATTTTTAAATATTTACCCAGTATTTATGACGTATGTGTATTTGTATCTGAATTATACAATTGAAGTAAAAAAATATTATTTATAGTAAATTAAATTGAATCTTATTTAATTATTTCAAAGATATATATTTTTACTTTTACTTCAACCCCGTTGAAAGGTTACCAAGCACTGTTTTTACAACATAGGGGATGTTATCTGTGTAATGTAAAAACTCGTGCCTATATTTTGTTATGCATGATTATCGTGTTCGTATGCGTCGCCATTTTCTGCACGCTCTGATGTTTCTAACCTTTTTAGTTCCAATGGAATATAATGCTTCTGTTAAAATTTAATATTTTTTATATTTTAGTGCTTGTCTCTGTACTCAAAATGTATAAATGGACTTCTACCCACTCAAATGGACTTAGAGTGGACGAGACTTTTGAATTGATCTTTGCGTGCTGAATTCTCACCTAATTTTTTTACGTTAGAAGGTGGCAAGCGAGCGTTTGCATATTTACAACACCCGTAGAGTTGCACATGTGTTGCCAAATTATTATAAAGTGGGCCCTGACTACCTCACTCACCAGACGAAACGTAAAAACACTTCACTTCCACTTTACACCGGTCGTCTGTGGGATGGTGGTAATTCCACGGATGGACTAGCCCAGTCGTTGCGTCCTACCAAAGTTATAGTTAAAAGCAAAGTAAAGTAACAGCATATATAAGTCCCACTGCTGGGCTAAGACCCCCGTACAGAGGGTATCGGAGCATAGTCCGCCACGCGGCCCTGCGGAATTCCACATTTCCTCACGAATTTTTAGAACGCAGATTTCCTCAAGATGGTTTCCTTCACCGCAGATCGCGTGATAAGTGAGCACGTAAAACTAACAATTACATCGGTGCCGGCAACGGGGATCGAACTCGGGTCGCTCGATTATATTGATTTAAAGGCAAGCGCCTCGACAATGAGCTATCACGGCTGTTCACAGTTAAGCGTGGTCTTTTCAAACCCTCAACTCGTCGGCCCACAGACGCGTGCGCGAACACGGCCGCCCTCCGACTCCTGGAGGCTGCGCGCACGGGCGACGTGGAGACGGCCCGCTCGATCCTGGACTCCAGGCCGAGGCTGGTCAACTGCCGCGACGTGGACGGCAGGCACTCCACGCCGCTGCACTTCGCCGCCGGGTGAGTTGGAAGCGGAGGCGGAGATTGGTCACGTGGAAGAAGAGATTCGTTACGTAGTGAGGGAGAGAGTGAGATAGACTGTGGTGGTTGTGGCTGTTGTAGTGCAAGAAAAGTTACAATGCGAACTGGATAGAAGTGGAGATTGGTCACGTGGAAGAAGAGATTGGTTAAGTAGACAGAGAGAGTAACTGTCGTAGTTGTGGCTGTTGCACGAACAGCTGAAGTGGAGGTTGGTGACGTAGAAGAGATTCGTGACGTAAAGAGAGAGAGAGAGAGAGAGAGAGAGAGAGAGAGAGAGAGAGAGAGAGAGAGACTATGGTAGTTGTGACTGTTGCACGAACAGTTACAATGCGAACTGGATAGAAGTGGAGATTGGTGACGTGGAAGAAGAGATTTGTTAAGTAGAGAGAGGGAGAGTAACTGTGGTAGTTGTGGCTGTTGCACGAACAGTTGAACTGGAGGTTGGTGACGTAGAAGAGATTCGTGACTTAGTGAGAGAGAGTAACTGTGTTAGTTGTGGCTGTTCCATGAACAGTTGAAGTGGAGATGGAACAGGTGACGTAGAAGAGATTTGTGACGTAGTGAGAGAGAGTAACTGTGTTAGTTGTGGCTGTTCCATGAACAGTTGAAGTGGAGATGGAACAGGTGACGTAGAAGAGATTTGTGACGTAGTGAGAGACTAACTGTGGCAGTTGTGGCCGTTGCAGTCACAATGCCAACTGGATTATGCTGACAGGCATTGAACAGTCACAATGCGTGTTAGTGTGATCCAGTGACCATATCACTGCAGTCGCGCCTTCTTTATAGGCCCGATGTACCGGGCCTAGCGATTCTAAACCGTGCCATCGTCAAATTAGACCTTAACTGTGGTAGGACCGGGGTCCACGTTCCACAGTTAAGGTCTAATTTCAACACAGATGTGCGGGTCCGTCCTTCAAGTGCTGTGTTACCCAGCAATAGTTGCGCTTCCTTCGAAGTCGCGGAGCTGATCCCCGGTTTCCTCCGCAGGTACAACCGCCTGCCCCTCGCCCAAATGCTGCTCCAGAGGGGCGCAGATGTCCACGCTAAGGATAAAGGGTGAGCGATGACCGAATTTGGCAAACATTTATTAATCTAATATATGCAGACGGTGTGAGTTGAGATACTGGGTACATGTCGTACCGAGTCCCACAAGTGACATTTGGTCAGCCTGTCGCTGGAGCAACTCCGCCGACCCACTGGCCGGTCTCCTGTTCTTGAGCGATTTCTTGCCATCGAACTTGCTGTTCCCGTGAGTGAGGTGACCACGTCCTCCACACCTGGAGTCGAGGATCCGGGCGTCGATCCGTCGCTTAGTTTGTTGTGTTTCTCCCCACTCTCCGTTCCTCACCCATTCTCGAGGTCTGTGAAGCTTTGCCCCCTCACCAGATACCGACTTGCCACGAGCGTCACAGAGGACGGAAGATGATGAGTGGTCAATAAGCGCTATCGACGAAATAGGTCGAATCAGGTCAATAAGCGCTATCGACGAAAGACTGAAGTCGATGTGTTTCGTCTGGTGAGTGTACATGGGCTCTCTTATGCCCGGTACCTATATTCGACGAACGGCCGTTAGTTACATAGCTAAGTAACTTTCATAACGACTTTTAAATTAAAGGAACGCCAGTAATTCATTTTCCGTAGGTAATGCAACGGCTTTTAAGGAAAACGCCTCGTTTTGTTAATATAGGAATCGGGCGTACACACCTTTTATCTACAAGGCGTTATGAAAGTTACAAAGATCGTTCGTTGAATATTGGAACCAGGCATTAAAGGTTGACAGTACTGCTGCACCGGTTGTTGTGGTTGTCAGATGGATCGCCCGTTCTTCGCTATGAGGGGAGCGGGGCTGGGGTGAACGTAGTTTAACATTTTTATTAACGAAATAAGAAACCGACTTCAACAATCTCCCTCATTATTCACTTTCTATTTGATTTTTAGGAGTAACCTGATTTATTTAAGTAATCCATGCTCGAATACCGACAATGTCAATGTGGGACCGCATTATTTTTATTAAAATCGCTGCATAAACGACAAAGTTCAAAGCTAGCGAAAATAAAAAAAAAACACCGAATCGAGATTCTCCTTTTTGAAGTCACCACCTGCCATCTGACACCTGCCAAATCCGGACCCGCCCAGGGTTTTAGCTAACGAACAAAACAAAGGAACAACGCAATCGAGATACCTCCTTTTTTTTGATTCGGTTGAACAGCCGTAACTTACTTGCGAATTTGCGACCCGCCCAGGGGTCTGGTGCCGCTGCACAACGCGTGCTCTTACGGCCACTACGAGGTCACCGAGCTGCTGGTGTCTGCCGGCGCCGGCGTGAACGCTGCGGACCTCTGGCGGTTCACGCCCCTCCACGAGGCGGCAGCCAAGGGAAAGGCGGACATCGTCCGGCTGCTCCTCAAGGTGAGGGTCGCGGGCTCGACCCCCAAACAGATAGTGTGTAGTTTTGTTACCGCTAAGTATTTCTCTTTCCGTTCAGGTTTTCATTTATATAAGACCGGCGACCCGCCCCGGCTTCGTACGTGTGCAAATTACATATAAACCTTCCGCTTGAATCCCTATGTCTAGAAAAAAAAGCCGTATTTTTTCCACATGTTTTAATAAAATAAGCCGCATCAAGATCCGTTGCGTAGTTTTAAAGATCTAAACGTACATAGGGACAGACAGACAGCGGGACGACTTTGTTTTATACTATGTAGTGAGGATGGCACGTGAGCTGGTAGTACACCTGGCTGGTAGTATAAGTGACGACCGCCGCACATAGACATTTGGAACACGCGTAGGTTTCCAAATGCCACCTTTTAGTTCAGTGGGCCCCGGCTACCTCGCTCATCAGACGAAACGCAGATGTGTTACACTTCCACTTCACGCCGACTTTATGTTAGGTCGTGGTACTTCCCCGCAAGGACCTACCCGTTCGTGCAACAGCCGAAGCCGTTGCGTGGCCCCACCACAGTTCAATGCCCCTTTCCGCAGCAAGGAGCGGGTCCGACGCGATTTAACGCGCAAAACTTTCGCGTCGCACGAGTTTATGCGAGCTCCAGAACAAAATCCGACGCGACGCAACAAGCTAAACGTTCGCGTCGCACGAGTTGATGAGAGCCCCTTATCGCAACACGGAGCGGGTCCGACGCGACGCAACGCGCGGAACGTTCGCGTCGCACGAGTTCATGAGAGCCCCTTTCCGTAGCACGGTGCGGATCCGACGCGACGCAACCGCGACGGCCTCACGCCCCTGCAGCTGGTCAGGGCGGGCGACGGCGACACGGCCGACGCGCTGAGGGGCGACGCGGCGCTACTCGACGCGGCGAAGAGGGGTGACCTCGCCAGGGCCAAGTGCGTTCACTGCCGACCTCTTGAAGTGGAACTTCTATGCGACTTCTGGCAAAGTTGCGTTGAACGTTTAACGCTACCATGGTGGGGGTATGAAAGCACCTTTGCGTTAAACGCTCAACGCTCCTGGGGAGGGGTAATAGAGAGAGACAGAGCGAGAGCGAGTGCGTGGCACTCGAAGTTTCACTGCTTCCGCGCGGAGGGACTCCACGCACTATTCAATTTTTTTTTAACGTAAATCCCTTATGGATCTTTAGAAATAAACACTTTTATAGTGCTAATCTCTGCAAACGCGCGGCAAGTAGGTGGATGCAGGTGGTTCGGGATCGTACTTCCAATCTATGGGGGAGGCCCATGTTCAGCAGTGGACTCGAACAGACTGAAATGACGATGATCCTGCGATGTTGAGACTGCCATGCATCACGATCCCGCTTGGATGCGGTGATGAGATGCTTGGATGGAGATTCTTCATCATTATCATCTCTGCCCGTTTTAACTGTCCACTGCTAAACATAGGCCTCCCCGACAGACATTCTTGCTAGTGATAATTGCGAAATATCAGAAAAATCGTCGGCGCTAAATGCCCTTTTGTCGCCGTGTTTGCAGGAAGCTCATCACGCCGCAAAACGTGAACTGCAGAGACGCGCATGGAAGGAACTCCACACCACTGCATCTTGCTGGTGAGAAAATCTTGCATTTCTTGAAAATAAAAGTGGGATTTATATACAGCTTGCTACTAACTTGCATTACGGGCAACTAATAATGGCTTTGATTGCCTAGAGTTCTATTTCATGGACCAGCAGGTTTTATTAATGTAAGTATATGAATGAATACTTTTGTTGTCCACCACAGTTGAAATATACGTTCATTTGTGGGGAAGAAAGGTTCTCGAGTGGCAGCCTCGTACCGGTCATCGCAGTGTGGAACGACCCCCCACTAGATGGAGTGACGACCTGTGCAAATGTGCGGGAAGTCGATGGATGCAGGTGGCTCAGGATCGTACTTCGTGGCAGTCTATGGGGGAGGCCAATGTTCAGCAGTGGACTCGAACAGGCTGAAATGATGACGATGATGATTTATTTACAAAAGAAAAGAATTTTCAAGGGTGTTTATCAGTTATCTGCTACCCATAGTACAAGCGTTGCTTAGCTTGGGGCTCTTGTAACGTTGTGTAAAAATGTCCCAAAACATTACCACTCGCAGCCGGCTACAACAACCTACTTTTGTATCGTTGTGTAAAAATGTGTTCGAGATATATTATCTATCACAGCACCCACAGTACAAGCGTTGCTTAGTGTGGGACCAGAGAACTTTGTGTAAAAGTGTGTCCCATAACATTACCACTCGCAGCCGGCTACAACAACCTACTTATGTAGCGTTGTGTAAAAGTGTGTTCGAAAAACATCACCTCTCGCAGCCGGCTACAACAACCTGGAGGTGGCCGAGGCCCTCCTGGAGGCCGGTGCGGCTGTCTCCGCCCGGGACAAGGGCGGGCTGGTGCCCCTCCACAACGCCGCCTCCTACGGCCACCTGGAGCTGGCCGCCCTCCTCCTCAGGGCCGGGACGCCGCCCAACGCGGCCGACCGCTGGGGCTTCACGCCCCTCCACGAGGCTGCGCACAAGGCGCGGACCCAGCTTTGCGCCTTACTGGTGAGGATACCGTCGCTAGAACTTCTGCAGTCCATTGGAATAATTTCGAGTCTTTCTTCTTTTATGTGAGAAAGTGGCAAACGAGCTAGCCGTAAGCGTGGACCCAGCTCTGCGCTCTGCTGGTGAAGATACCCTCGATAGACCTTCTGCAGTCCATTGGAAAAATTCCAAGTCCTTGTTCTTTTATGTGAGAAAGTGGCATACTAGCTGGTCGTTCTCCTGATGTGAGGTGATAACCGCCGCCCACGGACATTTGAAACACCCGTGGGGTTGTGAATGCGATGCCATCTGTAAATAAAGCGGGCGCCGGCTAGCTCGTTCAACAGGCGAAACGCAGAAGTGTAACGCTTCTAAGCCGGACTTGTCTGCCTATTCATCATGACCTCAAAAATACTTTGGTGAAGTGGATTCTACACTTTCGCCCGTCGAGCGAGATAGCAGGGCCCCGTTGCCAACGCACCTACAGCCTTACGGGTGTTGCGGACGCTGGCGTGCGGCCGCGACCACTTAACATCATGTGAACTTCGCCGCTCGACACGTTAACCTCGCTGGCGTGACAGCTCGCGCACGGAGCGGACCCGTTCCTGAAGAACCAGGAGGGGCAGACCGCTCTCGAGCTGGCAGGGGCGGACGACGTGCGCTCGCTGCTCCAGGACGCGATGACCGGCGCCGCCGGGGGGGGCCCCACCCCCGCGCCCCCTCCCCCACCCCCGCCGCGGCTGCCCGTCCGGCTGCCTTCGGGCGACACGGCGCCACTAGCGCCCCCGGTGGGTACAACACTTAAACATTCGCCTTCCCCTCATGATGCAGATGATGATCCCACGATAATCATATAACATCCGGTGGGTACAACCCAAGGCCATAAATAATTAAAAAAAAAAAACAATAAATATGAACTCACTGCCGCACCGTTACCAGCCCGGTTCATGTACGTGGCGGTGACAGCAAAAAAAAGAAAATTAAAAAAAAAACGTTAATCAAAAAAGAGTCCGGACCACGAGTATGTAGAGTTAGTTTTTTTTTTTAATAATAAAAACCCTAGCCCATGCAGATGAGGCTCCCATATTTTTTTCCCAAACGCGCCAGAAGAGGTATAACTTCAAAATGTATCAAATTACGCGCCGCGAAAGTGAATGAGAGAGAAGTTCACTTCTCACTCACTCTTGGCGTAATAGACCAAGCTTGGAACAAGGTGTAACGACAGGTCATGCCGAGCAACTACTGGGCTGAGGGGTCGCGCGGGAGTCTGGAGGATGCAGCCGGCAGGCCGGCGTCGGCACTCTCCACTTCGGAATCACTACCGACCTTCCTCGCCAGGTAAGTCCTTACTTGCCAATGGTATGACCCTATAAGTGTTTGGGTAAACATTCTGTTGGGTCGAGGATCAATGTAATTCCTTACATGGCAACCGTAGGACCCTAGACGTATCTGGATAGGAATTCTTATGGGTCGAGAACCAAGGTAGGGCTTATTTAGCAATAGAATGACCCTAGAAGTATTTGAGTAGCAATTCTGATCGGTCGAGAATCAAGGTAAGGCTCACTTAGCAATAGAATGACTTTATAAGTATTTGGGTAGAAATTCTTATGGTTCGAGAATCAATGTAAGTTCTTACTTGGCAATGGAATGACCTTAGAAGTATTTGGGTAGTAATTCTGATGGGTCAAGGATCAATATAAGTCCTTACTTGGCAATGGAATGACCTTAGAAGTATTTGAATAGCAATCCTTATGGGTCGAGAACCAAAGTACGGCTTACTTAACAATGGTATGAGCCTAGAAGTGTTTGGGTAGCAATTCCGATGGGTCGAGCAACAATATAAGTCCTTAATTGGCAATGGAATGACCTTAGAAGTATTTGGGTAGCAATTCTGATGGATCGAGAACCAACGTAAATCAGTACTTACCAATAGACTGACCTTATATGTATTTGGCTAGCAATTCTACTGGGTCGAGTATCAATGTTGGCTCGTACTTGGCAACGGTATCACCCTAGAATTAATTGAGTAGTATGATTGGAGAACACCAGAGACTGGTGTGAGCTGACAACCATCGAGAAGGGTGCTTGTCCTCCTCTGTCATTCCGTCTGTGAAGAAATCCACCACCGCCTCGGTCCAGGGTCGGGCTGGAGCAGCTGTGCCCCACGCTGGAGAGGGAGCAGATCACCGTGGACATCCTCTCGGAGATGTCGCACGAGGACCTGCGCGCGGTGGGCGTGGCCGCGTACGGCCACCGGCACCGGCTGATCAAGGCGGCCAGGCAGAGCCTCCAGGCGCAGTCGGGTGAGGTTCAATGTGGCAGGGTCAGGCGGCTTTGGGTGTTGCACGAATGGGCGCGCCCGTCCGGGGAAGTACCGCGGCCTATGTACCGGCGTAAAGTGGAAGTAAAAGTAAAAAAAAAGTAAAGTAACAGTCCATACATGTCCCACTGCTGGGCAAAGGCCTCCTCTATAGAGAGGATATCAGGGCATAGTCCACCACGCGGCCCCACTGTGGATTGGCGGACTTCACATATCTTCGAAATACATTTTTTTTGTTATTATTTCGAAAATATGCAGGTTTCCTCACGATGTTTTCCTTCACCGCGGAGCACGTGATAAGTCAGCACTTAAAGTTAAAAACTTCATTGGTGCCGGCACCGGGGATCGAACTCAGGTCGCCCGGACACTGAGCTATCACTGCTCTCAAAGAGTGGAAGTATCCTTACTTAATCCTTACTAATATTATAAACGCGAAAGTTTGTATGTATGGATGGATGTTTGTTACTCTTTCACGAAAATGCTACTGAATGGATTTTAATGAAACTTTACAATAATACAGCTTATTCATCAGAATAAGATATAAGCTATAATGTATATACATATTTTATGTATATCTGTCTTTATGTCTGAATGTTATGCCTTCAGCCTATTCTATGCAGACGTAGTCGCGGGCAGCAGCTAGTAATAGATACTTTCGCGTTTTGTCTGGTGAGTGAGGTGGCCGGAGTCCAATTTTCAAAGGGTTGTCAATGCATCTGCAACGCTCGGGTGTAGCAGACGTCTATGGCGGTATTCACTTAGCATCAGGTGAACCGCCTGCTCGCTTGGCAACTATTAACAAAAAAAATTTATATTCTCCTGTCGGGATATGCTTTAAAATACCATTTGCAAAGAAGGAAACGTGCGCCGCTTTATTTGAGATCACATTTTGTGCAACTAAGAATTAACCCACAGAGTGGTACGGCGGCACCACTCTGGTGGACGTTGGCGCCGAGGAGTGCGGCGACGGGGAGTACGGGATGCTGGAGAGGGAGATGCAGGCGTCCGTGAGGGCGCACAGGGACCACGCCGGCGGCCAGTTCACCAGATACCGGGTCGTCAGGGTGAGTGAATGATTTGGGGGTTCTTTGTAGAGTGGACTGTTATACTTCCCACCAATTGTCTTAAGACTGTTGGCCAGTTCACCAGATACCGGGTCGTCAGGGTGAGTGAATGATTTGGGGGTTCTTTGTAGAGTGGACTGTTATACTTCCCACCAATTGTCTTAAGACTGTTGGCCAGTTCACCAGATACCGGGTCGTCAGGGTGAGTGAATGATTTTGGGGTTCTTTGTAGAGTAGTCTAGGTCTTTATGGGCCAGTATCGACCGTATCAGATAACGCTCTCTCACCACTTGTCTTAAGACTGTTGGCCAGTTCACCAGATACCAGGTCGTCAGGGTGAGTGACTGATTTTGCGGTTCTTTGTAGCATGGTCTGGGTCTTTATGGTCCAGTATCGAACATATCAGATAAGACTATGTTGTTAAAAGGATTGTTAAACTCTCTGAATTGATCAGAATGATATTTAACACTAAGGAGGCATTAGACTAAAGTGTAGTAAATTAAGCATTTATACTTTCTCCTTCCGTCTGACAGATGAAATAGACCTATTTTTAAAAAAAGAATAACACGCGTCGCCACTCTGGCGTCTGTCACGCGGGACGGTATTCGCATTGTCCGGACTTTAACAAATTATTTATTAGGTTGACATGTGATGTATACGTCAGAGAATTTGTATTGCCGTGCGTGACCATATGTTTATCATCGTGCCATATCCACTTATAGAAAAGAGTACACAACACCTTTCAAGCCTTCCTTCGCAAAATGAAAGTAGACTGAGTCAAGGGACCTCTCACCATCCGCTAAACTGCTGCAGATCTATCCCGAAATCCTTCTCAAATAGAAAGCCTTGCCCCATCGGGGAGAATTAGACTGAGTCAAGGGACCTGTCACCGTCCGCTTGACTGCTCCAGATCCAGAAGATCGTGAACGGCCGCCTCTGGGAGCGGTACCAGCACCGGCGGAAGGAGGTCTCCGAGGAGGCGGGTGCTCCTAACGAGAGGATGCTCTTCCACGGCTCCCCCTTCATCAACGCGATCGTGCAGAAGGGGTTCGACGAGCGGCACGCGTATATCGGTGAGTGGGGGGGGGGGGGGGGGTGATAGCTTCTGGGAAGGAGGAGAAAGAAAGAGAAGGACTATAAGGACCCGTCGTCTATCCAACTGTTAGATCCATACGTGAAATCTTCTAAATGAAGTCAATGAATATCGCAACACGGTCTAAAATAAGTTTAACCATAGACGGTTGTGCACTATTGCTTATAGCAGTCATCTAATGGAAACTTTTGGATGGACATACGGTCCCGTTTTACCCTTTGGGTACGTAACCCTAAAAATTTGTGCGTGTACACGGTTGAAGTATAACTAAAAATATTTGTAAAATAAAAAAAAATATTAATAATTTATTATTAATTAATATCTTAATAATAAATTAAGTTATTATTAATTCAAAATAAAATAAAAAATCTTATGCTATATCAAGGTATCTCGTTACTTAAATTATACAGCGTGTCTTTTATGATTTTTTTTAACGTTTATATTTTTTTATGATTATTGGCAAACAGCGTTAGACGTGTGTTCATTTAGTGTCGCGATGGTAAAGACACGCTGTATAATAAAAAATATCCTTTTCTTTCTCTTTCTCTCTCTCTTCTCTACCCACAGTAGATGCTCTCCATCTCCCCAGAACAGTAAAATTTTCTAAATGGTTTTTGGTTCCGGCGTAAATTGCCGTCAATCCGATCTGAAATTGTGGCAATCCCATCTGTCCCGCCAGGCGGCATGTTCGGCGCCGGCATCTACTTCGCCGAGCACTCCTCCAAAAGCAACCAGTACGTGTACGGCTTCGGCGGCGGCTCCGGCTGCCCCGCCCACAAGGACAGGAGCTGCTACCTCTGCCACAGGTGGCGCATACGAATCTTATTTTTTCACGTGAGGAACCGGCAAACGAGCTGGTGGTGGACATTTGCAACACCCGCAGCCCGTAGGGTTACAGATGCGTTACCTCTTAATAATGTGGGCCCCGGCCACTTCACTCACCAGACGAAACGCAGAAGTGCAACACTTTACGCCGGTGTTCTGTGAGGTCGTGGTACTAACCCGGACGGACCTGCCCATTCGTGCAACAGCGAACGCTGTTGCGTGGCCCTACCACCGTTAGTATAGCTTATTTTTTTTATAACATTGCCATTACCTACTTTAGGATAACATTGTCCTGGGTTGTGAGGACGTTTTACAAACATAAATTACACGCGGAAAAACACCCAGATGCGAAACAAATATCTGTGGTCGCACAAATAGTTGTCCTGTGGGGAGATCGAACCCACAACCTATACCTTGGCCACTGCGCCACGGAGTCTTCAAATCATCATCAAAAGAGAGCTATCATTCGAGGGGGAAGGGGGGAGGGGAGTTTCTTGCTGGTGTCATCGTAATAAAGCCAAAGAGCCCCTTTAAAGCTTGGTAGCTACCTCTGCAGTGCCGAGGTAGTATAATCGTTTATTGAAATAAAAACAAACGTTTTGAACATTAAAACGTTTTGATTTAAAAAAGAAACAAAAAAATGCAATTGTATTCCCTAAACTAAAGGGACAGAACTTGTTGACAATGCGGTAGTCATTCATAAATGTCGTATACTTTGGAAACGAATTTGTGTGCGTGTTAGTTATGAATTATCGCGCGTAAAATAAATGAGTTGCCCATAAATCACGCACTTTTTGTGATAAGTTCAAATGAATGTAATCAATTAATTAAGAGTCATTTTAAATGATTATCATTTTTCTGTTTAGAATTGAATTAAAAAAAAATTGATACACTTAGAAAAGCCTCCCTGTAGGGTAAAGGTTGGCTAAATGGTGATATATAGCAATATGGTGATAATTTTGCTTTGAACGGTCTTTATAATGCCCAGCGCGAGTTTTGCGTTCATTCAATGAACTGAAGGCGAGTATGTTCATCTCTCTTTCATTTGGCCGCTGGTCGCTGTCCTCACCGGACGCGGTTTATTTGTTTCGCGCCAAAATATGCGAAAAAATGGAGGATAATCGGTACGTAAATATCACCAAATTACCAAAAACATTACATAGCTTATTTTTATTTTATTTCAAGCTTAATTTGAATGGGGTTTTCAGGGTAGATGAAGCTCGAAATGTTGTATCTTTCTGTTAAAAAAAATATCGGGTTGTGTTTCATTAGTCCGGGTTATAGTCTTACGTATTGGATGATTTTTCTTACAGGAACAAGTCCGGAAAGGTAAATAAAAGGAAAATGAAGGGCGAGAAACGCAGAAATTATGATTCTTCACGCTTCAAGGAGGCTTATATGAAAGTTATAAAGGATAATTGGTCAGTGTACAAGGCGTCGAAGGAATATGGCATACCGTGGTCTACTTTGAGAAGACACATAGCTACTCATGGAGGTGAAAGTTTCGACTTACCTAAACTTGGGAGACCATTCACATTAGACAGCGACCTTGAATGTAAGTTTGTTTCCTACATAATTAAAATGCAAGAACTAGGATTTGGTCTCAGCGTCACAGACATCAAAGCTAAATGTTACGCTTTAGCAGTCCAATCAGGAAAAGATCACCAGTTTAACGATGCTAAGCGTAAAGCTGGGCCTTATTGGTGGTGGTCGTTTAAAGAACGGTACGGGCTTTCATTGCGCACGCCAGAAAAGCTTGCAGCATGCCGAGCTGTTACTGCTAACAGACAAAACATTGACGATTTTTATAAAAAGCTACTGGACGTCGTTATTGAGCTGGATATTTTGCAAAAGCCTGAAAGGATTTATAACTGCGACGAAACCGGTGTAAAGTTCGTCGTAAAACCGACAAAAATTGTCACTCAAACTGGAAAGAAGGTAATTTACAGTAGAACTTTTGCAGAGAAAGGTGTCACACAAACGGTGCTTGGGTGCTGTAGTGCGAGCGGAGCGTCTGTACCCCCCTTGATCATTTTTAAAGGTGTCCGAATGGTCAATAATCTAGCGAATGGTGCTCCGGAAGGGTCTATCGTGAGATTATCCAAAAACGGATGGATTAACTCTGAACTATTTCTGGAGTGGATGCATCATTTTGAAGCTCATATTCCACCAGCTAGACCGGTACTTTTAATCATGGATTCTCACTCTACCCATGTCAGCCAAGATGTTATAGATTTCGCTACAAAAAAATGGCATTCATCTATTCACTTTTCCAAGTCACACAAGCCATCTCCTGCAACCTCTGGACGTTTCTGTTTACAAGTCACTGAAAAATGCATGGGCTAAAGTGCTAAATGATTATAAGCTTCAACATCCAACGAGTGCTCCAACAAGGCTTGACTTTTGTCGCCTATTAACACCAGCCTACGAGCATGCATTTCACCCGTCAATAATTATGAACGGCTTTCGAAAAACTGGCATAGCGCCATTTGATCGAAATGCCATTTCTGATGAAAGTATTGCCCCATCATTGATGCAGCCAAGTGACCTACAGTCACAGAATATTGAATCTTCCACTGATAATGCCCAAGATTCTGCTGTCAATCGTGAAACTGCGTCACCTTCAGTTTTCTCTTTACTTTCCGTTTGAGGTACCACAGTCTTCTTCTTCTAGTACCCGACGAGCTAAGCGGAATCCACAGGCCCGATATTTAACACCTCAAAGCACGAACAACATGGACAGTCCTGAAGAAAACATCGTCGCCATATCAAACGAAACCACAGTCGCCGTTACCAGTGAGGAGACCGTTACCTCGATTCGTGTCCCCTCTGCTTCTCTAACTCCTGGACCTTCAACTGAAAGCAACCTGAAGCGTAAACTACCAAGAGTCAAGGTAGAGAAAACAACAAAATCAAATAAAAGTACGATGTGTGACTATTGCGGTGTTCACTACTCCCAAGATGTGGCACTTAGGAACGGAGCTGTATGGGTAGAGTGCATGAGCTGCGGCAAATGGTACCACCAAGAATGTACTGGCACAGAGTCGCCACAGTTCCTGTGTGATAATTGTGATAAAGTAGACTTTTCAGGCACTGATGACAGTGATTGGGCACCTGAATAGACTTGTCACCATATTGCCACATATGGTATCACCAAATTGCCCCCGTATCTCCATATTGCCAACACCAAAAAGATTTGTTTGATCTGATTTTCCTATTAATGTTTAAGAATTTAAGTTGCTGTGATTAATAATTATTGAAAAGAAAAGTCTGATTATTGCAATAAGTAAAGAGGTTTTCTAATAAATGTTAATTTTGAAATAAAATTTTAAGTTTTTTTCTTATTATCACCATAAAGCCAACCTTTACCCTATATGTACAAACTTTCGCGTTCATAATATTAGTAAGGATATGTTATATTTCAAACAATGCCACCGCCGGAAGCGTTCGATCGTAAGAGGGGAGTCCCGTTCCGCAGGCAGATGCTGCTCTGCCGCGTGACTTTGGGGCGCGCGTTCCAGCTGGCGAGCGCGATGAAGATGGCGCACGCGCCGCCCGGCCACCACAGCGTGGCGGGCAGGCCCACGCACGGCGGCCTCTGCTACCCCGAGTACGTGGTGTACCGCGGCGAGCAGGTGCGTGCACTACTCTGTGCGATGCGGTGTGTCGGCGCGCTACTCTGTGCGATCTGAGTGCGCTACGCGGCGCGATGTGAGTGATCTGCTCTGTGTGATGATTGAATGCACTACTCTGTGCGATGAATGAGTGCACTACTCTGTGCGATAAGTGAGTGGACTACTCACTCTGTGCGATAAGTGAGTGGACTGCTCTGTGTGATGATTGAATGAACTATGCTGTGCGGTACATGAATGCACTACACTGTGCGATGAATGAGTGCACTACTCTGTGTTATGAATGAGTAGACTTCCCGATGCGATAAGTGAGTGCACTACTCTGTGCGATGTGAGTGCACTACTCTGTGCGATGAATGAGTGCACTACTTTGTGCGTTAAGTCAATGGACTACTCTGTGCGATGAATGAATGAACTACTCTGTGCCATGAATGAATAAACTACTCTGTGCGATGAATGAATGAACTACTCTGTGCGATGAATGAATAAACTACTCTGTGCGATGAATGAGTGCACTACTCTGTGCGATGAATGAATGAACTACTCTGTGCGATGAATGAGTGCACTACACTGTGCAACACTGAGCTGTCACGGTTCAAAGTCCTCCGAGCATGTGATGTGTGGTGATCACTTTCCTCATCTCCGCAGGCGTATCCGGAATATCTGATCACTTATCAGATAGTCAACGAGGAGAACGGCCCGGACGGCGTGTAGAGAGGCGTCAAGCGCGAAGCGCTCGGAACGCAACGGGTTCCGCATATCCAAATCGCCGAGACCATTTGTGGACTATCAAGTGGCTTGTCCGTCTGTGTGTAAAGTGTTTCAAACCTTCGGAATGTGTTTCAATAGGTTTTGATTACGGGGCATCCCTTCGGTATTGTAAACCGACTTCTAAAATAGAGGTTTCTAATTTTTTTTGTATTGAGTTCGTCTTAGCTCCCAAGTGGCACATTTAATTGCTATCGGAACTTGGTATCCCGGATATATGTAAGGGAACTCCTCAAAATCAAATAGAAAATGTATAGTGAATTATATTTGAAGTCGGTTTTGTTTTTTTGTTATTAAATATGCATTTGTTGAGCCAGTGCTGATTCTAATGGTCTGCTTGGACGTAATATGGGTCGCTCTCAGCTACCACGCTCGGGAATCTATCCTATTAAATGTTAGAATCGATTATAATTCGAAAGTACCCCTTTCGAGAGAACCATTTCGACAGACGGACAGTGATCGTGAAGGCACACAAAGCTCACTGAACCCCGAAACTGTAGCAATAATTCGACGATCAAATCGATTACATTAATGATGCATTAATTCGATATTTTTTTAATGGATTTTCGACGACGACTTTAGATCTATTGATTTGTATAATTTTGTACTTTTTGATTTACACTCTGGCCGGAGTTTTCGAAGCGTTTGCTCGATTTGAAAAAGAAAAAAGGAAAAATAGAAGCTGTGATGTTTTTAAAAATGGCGACCGTATTAGTTTCGCATGACGTCGATCAATCAAATGTTAATTCGTGTTAATTTTTGTCACATTTATGTTCGATTGTTTATTGACACATTAAAGTGAACCTGTTGTAAATAATTAAAAATCAATTAGTATTATTATCGTTTTTACTGTTCAACACAATCCGAGATGTTTTGAATATTTATGATTTTTAATGTTTCGCATATTCATTTGTTAGGAAATGTTTTGAAAGAAATAATTAAAATCCTTCACCCCTCTAAATAGATTTTATAACGGTGATTTTACGCCTTGAAGTATTGTTTCCATATATGTTTATATGTTTCCAGAATGGTACAATTTTAATTATGATTTATGTAGCGAGTATTTTTGTAAAGACAGAGGCAATGATGGCTCGTTGGCGCGTACAAAGCTATCGGCTTCGGCTCGTCGGCCGTGGGTTCGATTCCCACGCGGGACAAGTGCGACACACAGATAAAAGTCGTAAAAAAATAAAACCTAGCCAATAACATGTCAACATGTGGTGCCGAGGTAAAGTCAGAAGAAAGAAGAGTAGACAGCGATAATATCGACCACTCTTTTTATTCGAAACTGCGTTCTGGTGTATATTTTCGTTCCGTCTTAAATAATTCTAATGTTTTTAGATAGCGTAAAGGCGTCTAATGTCGCGTGTATTTTCTAAATGGTTATTTTTATATAGAATAACAGATGAGTGGTTCCTCCAGCTGCCAATATGCACTGAGGGTACCATTGTTTCTATTAATAATTTTGTATATATCGAGTGTAGATGTGCGGTGTGTGAGTGAATAAAATCTGTGGAATCTATAATCTGTGTGTTATTTTACAATTCCCGCCTTTTTTTTGCTTTTCTTTTATATACTATGCAATAGCTTTTCGTCCGCAGCTTTGCTCGTGTTATAGCCCTTAAATAAATATCTTTCAACCCTTTACAACGCTTTTTTCCAATCATGTTCTTTCTCGGGCTCTAGACTGTATCTATCTGTGTACCAAATTTCGTTTAAATCGGTTTAGTAGTTTTGAAGTGAAAGCGAGACGAACAGACAGAGTTACTTTCGCATTTATAATATTCATCATCATCATCATATCAGCCGTAGGACGTCCACTGCTGAACATAGGCCTCCCCCATTGACTTCCACTTCGACCGGTTGTTAGCGGCCTGCATCCAAAGCGTCCCTGCGATCTTAGCTAGGTCGTCCGTCCACCTTGTGGGGGCCTTCCTACGCTGCGCTTGCCGTCACGTATAATATTAGTATGGATTATTCCATATTTGTGGTTTTTTCTATGTCCTCAATTAGTTTGTTTCTCGCCTATCACCAGATGTAGTAATAAAATGTAACAACATAATAAAGCGAACCAGGAATTCCATTCTTTATTTTATTAATCAAAGACACTTAATATTATTGATATTTTTTTACAACATAACTGTTAAACAGGAGAGCGTTTTTATATACTTTTTATTCCAAAGTTCCAACGTAAATGGCAAAAAGCCACAGCAAAGCGTGGCCGGGTACAGCTAATATTAAAATAAATATCCCAAAAATGAGAATGAGACACACCTTAAGACTGTAGAGACAAACATGCATTTTTACGCTTGAAATACATTATTCTCCTTCGGTAGTCGGGTAAAAACCATTACCCCTCCTTCGGCAGTCGGGCACAAACAAGCGGTGATCGATTTCACGTATAAATAACCACACCAATAGTTCACAGATAATTTTATTTACAATAAAAAAATAAACATCACGTAAAACATAATCCGTGCACAAGTGCGCACTATTAATCTTTTGAGTAGATTCTAACGATATCGCAAAACAAAAAACTTTAATTTTCGGACTCTCACGGGAATTACTGATGTCACCCGCCATTTTTGACACGTCACAGTCACACGTAAAAATGGCGGTAAAAAGTATATTTAACGAATTTTATCGCGTATAATTTTGATTTTAACTACTCACGTTTTAAAAACGATTTTAAAACTGTTTCTATACAACAATTATTATTATTTGGAAAGAACAATTATTATTTGGCCGATTATTGATTTGGACGTAGGATGAATTAAATTGGGAAAAAAAATAAGTACTTACAGCAATATTTAATTCCTAATAAATTATATGGCGTACTAAAAATTTTTGATACAATTTTTATCGTCTACTTATTACACTAAAAGGCATACAGGTCATTTAAAATAAATAAATTTAAACTTCAAAAATTGCCTACGTAGTTTGGAAGTCAAGGCTCTACTAAAATTGTAGGAAAAGTGTTCAATGAATCACATTTATTATTATCACTATTGCCATTACAAGAAGAACAACTTCTTCACAGATACATCTCTAAACTAAAAAAAATAATTCTCATCTAATAAATAATACATAAATTTTACGATATATTTCGTAAATATATTTCGATAATACAAACATTTTTTTTTAATGTATAAATTATATCAAATATTTTCTCAACAAATTGTACTGATACGACGGAAAATGACAACTAAAGCTGAGGACACGTACCTTTCTCGCAATCCTCAAGAGTTTCACTCACAGGCAGACTACTTAAACCATAAAATTCAGCAATCTCGTATACTTACTGCTGAAACTGTAAACATGAACACGGCGATCTTTCATTCACTCCTGGCACGAAATGCTCTGGACCTACTCGCAACTCGGGTCTACCAACGTTGAAACACTAACGCTACATTTACATCCGACTACCTAAACTATGAACATAAGCCGGGTACACGTGAATTTTAATCTCTCTGCGACCGCTACAACTATGCAGTTACTCCACGAAACTGGGCACCTGTGACGACTTTCTTAGCGTTGACTACCACATGTAAATGTGAACATTCATTTTACCGCAACCGCTAAAGCTATGTAGTTGCACTACGAAACTGCGGACCTATGTCGACCTGCTTAGCATTGACCACTAAACAACGAGCGATAGCCGTCTACCATCCATCCATTTGTAGTAGCTTATTGACCACAACTACAACCAACTCAAGCCTACTGCACCGACATCCCTATCGAACCTTAAACTGCCTTCTCTACGAGCACTCCTGCGGACTTAAAAGCACATCTGCATCTTGGTACAGGCACTATGACTGCGGACTTAAATGCACGCCTGAGTCTTATAACGAGCACCATGACTGCGGACTTGAATGCACATTTGAGTCTTGGTGCGAGCACTATAACTGCGGACTTGAATGCACATTTGAGTCTTACAACGAGCACTATGACTACGGACTTGGATGCTTATTTGAATCTCGTTACGATCACTAGGACTACGGACTTGAATTCACATTTGAGTCTCGGTGCGAGCACTATGACTGCAGACTTGAATGCAAATTTTAATATCGGTACGAGCACTATGACTGCGGACTTTACTGCACATTCGAACCTCGGTGCGATTACTGCCGCGGGCTGTGCGCTCAGACGCACGGGTTCGACTCCCCGGCCATGTGCACGTGGGAGCAGGCGGCCGCGGTGGCCGCCACGCGGAACAGCTTCCCGTGCGGCATGCACACGCACACCTTGAACTGGGCCGCGGGGGGCGCGGAGGCGTTGCTGGCCGACGCTATCGGCAGATATCGCACGTCGACGAACACGCCCTCCTTGCCGCTCAGCACCACCGAGCCGTTTATCGACCTGGTGGGGTGCACCACTAACAGTGTGACGTCGCGGCTTAACGTGTGACGTCATTAAAATTTGTAGAACGATGAAGTGTCTCGCCGCTGCGGCAATCGAGACCGCGTCTACCGCGATTCGAATTATCGTTGTGAAGCGACGATAAATATATAGACGCGTCCAGCATTGTTTGAAATGCGAAAAACGTATGTATATAAAACACGTCAAGATTTTCGTCGTTTTCGCGTTTTGGGCGCAAATCCGGCAGACGCCGGTTCGATTCCCGCAGCGGCGGAGAACTTTAATTTTTTCAATTAATTTTAATGTCTCTACACTTAAGATGAGCTTAAGTGTAGAGATTAGCACTATGAAAATTTAAATTTTAGTGTAACGTCATTGAAATGAGGTCACAGCAGACCTACTCGCCGCAAGGCCACATTTTCCAAGAGGACTAAAAACTACTAGCGATGAAGCCTGGTACATAGAGACTATCCCCGGCACCCGTACCTTCCCGCGTGCAATTGGAGGTAGAAAACGCCATAGTCGATGGCCACTATGTCCGTCGGAATTCAAGGATAATTCTGGCTATGGGCACTTGGTCCCGGGGGCTGATGACAGGCTCACGCAGCAGTCTGCACGAATGGGCAGACCCGTCCTTTAAATATCACAGCCTCGAAGAAGACAGGTGTGAAGTAGAAGTGTTACACTTCTGCGTTTCGTAGCTGCGTGAGGTAGCCTGAGCCCAATTTATTTAAAGATGGCAACGGATCTGCTGCGGGTGTTGCAAATGTCCATGGGCGGCGGTTGTGACTTAACATCAGGTGAACCGCCAGCTCTATGCCCCTGTCTTACATAAAAAAAGAACATCAGTCCTAGAGCAAACGTGCACCGCCCACCTCAGGTGTATGTCCTGGTCGGCGCTCCAGAACAGCTGCTTGGTCTCCATCCTGGTGCCCTCGGCGCCGCGCAGGTGCGCGCTGGTCTCCGAGCGCAGCACCAGGTCCTCGTCCACGGGCGACGCTATCCGCTTCGTCGAGATTTGCTGCGGGGGGCATCCACTTACTCTTGGACTTAAGTACAGCATACTTAAGTAAAGGCTTGGAGATGAGTCTTACGCCCGGTTTATGAAGCCTAATCGTCGTAGAAATTAACTAATCTGCTGTCAAATGGCTTCACAAATGTCATTTGTCAAAGGGATGGTTAAACAAGTAAATGTTGATCAGAATAATCAATTGAAATGATGATCAGTGTTTCAGAAATCAGGCGTTGGTCTCTCACCTAAAGACAGTCATATTGAGGACAAAATGTAAAATAATCTATTAGAATAGTTTTTAATTAACAATCTGAAACAACACCTTTCAATCAGATAGAACGCTAGCCAAGCGGTCGGTAGTCGATGATAATATCAAATCTAACCTCTACCACTTTCTACTTTTTTTATATGAGTAAGTGATGTTATGTTATAACCGCCCCCCATGGACATTTGCAACTCTCGTAGAGTTACGCGTTACCACCTTTAAATAAAGTGGGCCCCGCGCACCTCACTCACCAGTCGAAACGCAGAAGCTGTAACACGTCCACTTCACGCCGGTCTTCCGTCAGGTCGTGGTACCTACCCTGAAGGGCCCGCCCATTCGTGTAACAGTGAACTGTTGCATGGTCCTATCACGGTCATTAATTCGGTAGCAACATCAGCCTACCTTCGCGAGCAAATTATTGACTCCCTCTGGAAGGTTCATCTCCGGCGAGCTCGTGCTGAAGACGACCTCCCCGGTCTCGGGGTCCAACAAGTCCAGGGAGCTGACGCCCCTCACGAAAACTCCAGAGGTGTTCAGCACAAGCTTAGCGTCCGAACGGGACAACCTTAAAATTTTTATTATTTTTAAAAACATTGGCCTTACGGTGGGATGACATCCTCGCCTGTGTTGTAAGGACGTTTTACATACATACTATTTTTTTTATGCGAAAAGTTGCCAAACGAACAGGCGGTTCACCTGATGGTAAGTGAATACCGCCGCCCATGGACATCTGCAACACCCGATGGTTACAGATGCGTTGACAACCTTAATAATTGGGCACCGGCCTCCTCACTCACCAGACGAAACGCGAAAGTACTATACTTCCACACTTACCCGGACGAGCCTGCCCATTCGTGCAACGGCCGAGGCCGCTGCGTGGCCCTACCACCGTAATACAAGGATAACTTTTTTTTTGAGAAGGTGGCAAGCGAGCTGGCGGTTCACCTGATGGTAAGTGACAACCGCCGCCCATGGGCATATGCATAGGGTTGCAGATGCGTTGCCTCCTTATAATAAAGTAGGCCCCGGCCCGGCTCACACGACCTCTACCTTTTTCTTTGCAATCGCCTATCCTACGTTCCACTGCTGAGCTAAAGTAAGACAACAGTCTATGTATATACGAAGGCATAGCACACCAAACGACCCCACCGTGGTTAGGCGAACCTCACAGCTCTTCGAAATATTTAGTTTTATTATTTATTTGAAAATATGCAGGTTTCAAGATGTTTCCTTCACCACTGAGCACTGAGTCAAACCAGCACTTAAAATTAACAATTTTCTCGTTGTAAACACCGCGATTTGAACTCGGGTTGCTCGAATATATTAAATTAAGAGCGAACGCCCGAACACTAAACTATCGCACACGTTGCGAGTCTCATAGTCGTGTATTCAGAAGTCTTTAGCCATTATTTTTTTATATGTGGGAAAAATCCTTTATGGATTTTTGTGGGTAGGCAGCGGGGGTATGTGGGAGTCCCCAGGAACACGGGGTACCCACTAAAAACCCACGTTGCACCTGCGTTGTCGCTTTTGCCGGGGACGCGGGAACACGATAACGCAATCCAGAAGTCTTTAGCGCTGGACTGAGTTCTAAGTCGACCTAAGAAATTTCTGAGATCATTGTCTATCCACCCGAATCTCTAATTCGAGACACACCTGGTCTGCAGGTTGAACACAACCGATCCGTTCTCGCTGCTTATGGTCATCGGCACGTCCTGAAAGCCCGATAGCAGGCCATCTCTCTTGTACACGTGGTCTAAATCAGTAGCACCGAGGAACTTTATGGCATCATGCTCCGGCAGAAACTCCATGCTCTCCATGCCTAGGTAAAAGAATGAAATTTTTACCCCTCACTGACTTCATTAAAATATTATCTAATAAATTTATTTCTATTTCGCGATTGACCTAATGTGTTCGGATACTCGCATTAAAACATTCTACAGCACTAGTAAAAAATCAAAACTCAGATCCTTGTTGTCGTTAACTACAAGTTTGAAGTTTGAAACGTTTAAAAATGAACTAAAATTAATAAAGTAATATAAAGACGCCGCGTAAACATCTAAAATCCAATGTAGATTTTCAATAGCTATGGAAAAACTTATAGGGCTTTGAGCCAAAGGATTGGTCAATATTTTGTTTCGTTTTTAAGCCCTGTCATGCGATTGTTAGCTTTGTTGAAATTTCCAATCTATAGATAATTAATTTGGTATAAACATATATACACTAAAGTTATTACAAATGTAATTAAAAGTGTTAAAATAAGTCTAATAGTAAAGCTAGTCATGTTAGTTTACGACTACGAACCTTAATCCTTGATCTTACAACCTTGACAAAAAGCGAAAAAGTTTGGTGAACCCAAAAATATAGTGAAAACTTGAGCTACCTATTACAATATTTCAATGAAATAGATTTTGCACTGATATTAATATTTCGTTACTGTACGGTTACAATTTTAAATTATTGTTGCTTAAAATCGTTTCCGATATTTAAGTATATAATTTGTAAGAACGAACCTATAACATTTATCTATGTAAATTATTTGTGTTATAATACTATAAATTCAAGTATCTATAAATCTTTCAGCATAATAAAAACACAAATTATTAAAAAACTGGAACACTGGATCTTTTTTAATTATTCAGGATAACGTTCTCCTACATTGTTATATAGTTTTATTAAGTACATTAGACATCTTGTCTTCAACGTGAGTCGAGGGTTCGAAATGATAATCCTGGTACGGTTAAATAATTTAATAATGAGGGGTACATATCCACGTGTATTTAATGTGAACAAATCATCGCTATTATACATAATAATGTTGTTCTACAGTAAGATCCTAATTTTACGTGTAGAACATGAACAAGCGATCAAAAATCTGTATAAATAAAATGATAGACGTCTTTTACGCGCATCACAGAAAAGCCACTGGATAGATTTCAATCAATTCTAAAGATTTCAATTCTTAATTTTATTTCATAGCTACTTGGCCTTTTTCTAAAAAAAAAACATTGAACTTAATATGTTCATCAGCTACAGGAATAAAATAATTGAGGTATGCCAATGGGCACGCTTCATGAAGAAAATACTGCATAGATTTCAATTGATTGTTCTAAGTTTTATTTCTAGGACATATTTCAGAATCTAAGAAACAATACATTCTATATAACCGATGATAAAGCTCTACCGTTCTAAAACTTTCCATTTATTCGTCTTGCTTTTGTTTATTAGACACTTGATTCCTATCCATGCAAATTTTGACCAAAAAATATTGTGATGTCTTAATTTGATGTAAAGTTATTAAAGCTTGTGAAGACCAGCGGTGTACTGCAAAAAGCTGATTGATTGAATGATGGATATAAAAGTTTTAACAAATAATTATTTTTTTATGTGCTACGTGTTCTCTGGTGTGTTTTCCTACTTTGGAGAAGGGGGGAAAGCGATGTAGTTGTTAATTTAATAAACTACGCAGATGAATTCACAATTGAGGTATTAGCTACTTAAAATATTACCATATCCAAGCCTCAGAACCGCGAGGATCGTGAAGGTCAGAACTAAATTTCCGATGGCGAGGACAAACAGCAAGCACACGAAAGTCCAAAACGCGAACGTCTTCCGCCCCCTCTGCATGGACTTAGTAACATCATTCCCATTCTTATCGGAATAATTCTTGACACCATTCCCGCTACTTTTATTGAGGAAAACCTGACTGTGCGTCGGTGTTTTCGTTATTAATGCCTTCTCCGCGTGGTTCCTATCCAGCGTACTCTCGGACATCGCGTCGGACATTGGCGAGACGCCACGGAGACCCGTCAGCATTATTTCAGCTATGTGTACTGCACGTTGAAATTTGTATCATGAAACTTATAAATAGCCCGGAAGGATTGAAGTAATAATTCCCCTGAACCAAAATATTGAGCGGTATCTGTCCATCCCTATTGGTTGGAGTATTAGCCAATACGAAATTTGGATTTCTCTAGCTAGATTGGATACTCGCACTTGCATATTACAACAGCATAAAAATATGTCTTTCTATAATTCTTTCAGCAATCCAATGAGCAATAGGCGTTTTTAGTATAAATTACAGAAAAATCTCTTGCACATTACAAATTATCAGAGCTAAAAAAACCCTTCATAAACTTATTTTCTTTAATTTTAGAACGTATAAAATGATGACAACATGACAGCGCGAATTGTTATTTCGTTTTTTGACAATTTGCTTTGTAATCATGGCGTCCGAACGTTACAGTTTCTCTTTAACAACTTTTAGGTAATTTTTTAATGAATTTACGTGTTTAAATAACCCTTTACGTTTATACAATTATTTTTTAAAAATAATTTAGTCTATCTTCAGTTAAAAAAACATAATCTTACAAACCTAAACAAGTTTATTAGTAGTTTATTGTTTGACAATTTTGTACGGAAATAAATTTAAGTACGATTTAATGTAATTTCAGCCCGTCTGGTAAATTGGTTCAAATAGAATATGCGTTGGCGGCTGTCGCAGCGGGCGGTACATCGGTCGGCATTAAAGGTATGGAATGGAGGTTATGTGTACAAATTGCTGGTCACCAAAAAACTATAACCTAATTGTGTTTTGCCATCAGCTTCGAATGGCGTCGTTATTGCTACAGAGAATAAACACAAGAGCATCCTATATGATGAGCACAGTGTGAACAAAGTGGAAATGATAACTGGACACATTGGTATGTAAATTCTCCAATCATTATAATTACTCTAAAACATTGAAACTACAAGAGGAAACGATGCTTTAGAGGCCTCTACTGATCCTTCTAGGTCTAATATTGTCTCGGATCAGTAAAAACATTTCTTGATTAATCTGTTACTCCCATGTGAGATTTTATATCATAATTGCAGCTTTTCTTCACTACTATCAACTACTAAACTGGGAGCCATGATACCTCATTGTCCGGGCACTTTCTTTAATTCAATATACTAGAGTAACCTAAGTTCAATCCTCGATGCCAGCAGCAACTGTTAACTTCAAGTGCTAAATTATCATCTGCTCAGCAGTGAAGAAAAAAATTATTAGGAAACCTTCATATAATAAAAAAATTGAAAATGTGTGAAGTCTGCCAATCCGCAGTAGGGTCGGTGGTGAACTATGCCCAAATACCTTCTGTTTAAAGGAGGCCTTTGCTCAGCAGTGGGACATATATAGGCTGTTACTTTACTTAGTTAATATAGAATGTTTGATTGATGTTTGAGCTGAAACTGTATATTTAGTACAACTGTGTCATATTAAATAATTACAGTATTGTATGTTAAAAGTTGTGTTTGGCATAGGGGCACTTTAAAACATTAAATTTAGCATGAAAACATATAAAATTAAAAAACTTAACATGTATTTGATGTTAATGAAATAATTTGTGAGTATACAATATAGAATGGTATTACCAATACTACTTTTTGTATTAATTGAAAAAAAAGTAATAATCTTGCTTAATGAAAGGCAATGTTTTATGCATAGTTAATATTTCGTCCATTGTATGAGTTGCGGCTACTTGATTAGTTACTATAATGTACTTTCAATTGTATTTTCCCCATGGTACGTAAAAATCAAAAAGCTTCTTTACCTGCTGTTTGTATTATGTCCTATTTACTTTATTGATTTTTATTCTGTTATTCTTTCAGCTGAATTTTTTATTTGGCAGTATGTAGAATGTCCATACTGGCAGGCACAAAACTTAGATTATTACTCAATTTACACCTAGTACATGTTAACTTTATGTAAGCTTAATATTTTATTTATTATAGTAAATGTGAATAATAAAGTATTAAGTCAAGAGTGTACTTATTTTCCTCAGGCATGGTTTACTCTGGCATGGGTCCAGACTACCGCCTACTGGTCACGCAGGCCCGGAAAATGGCACAACAGTACTACCTTATGTACCATGAGCCCATCCCAACTGCTCAACTAGTGCAGAGGGTAGCTGCGGTCATGCAAGAGTACACACAGTCTGGGTAAGTTGTTATTGCAATATTCCACAGCACCAATATGTTTGCATACATATTTTCCTACCATTGTGAAAGTGTATTGGTTGTTTTAGTTTTTTTTAATGCACCAATGTTTTTCCAAGTTTGGACTCATAGGGTCCTGGTATTGACTTTGTCTTGAGAAGTGCATAGTTTACTGTTGAGTTAATTTGGTGTGTAATTTAGGCCTTGACTCTACCCCTTTTTTGTAAAAAAAATCTCAATGTTGGTAAAGCCAGGGGGATAAAGTAATGACGAATTGATGACTCCGTGGCGCAGGATTCGGTCGTCGATGGTCGAGTAATCGATTTTCTCACGGGACAACTATTTATGTGACCCACAGATATTTTCGCATTTAGATTGTTTCGCATATGGATGTTTGTCCATGTGAAATTCATGTTTTTAAAACATCCTTACAACACAGGATAATGTTATTCTAATGTAAGGGCAATGTTTAAAAAAAGGATTAAATGCAAGCTCTTTCACAACTCTAATGGGATAGAAGGGGATAGTGATCTCTAGACTTCATTCGTTGAGCCAAAAAGCACATTTGAACACATATAAATGCTTAACTTAACAATAAAGTGTTATATCACAAAATGGTTACAATAAACACACAAATTAGCTTTGTGCAGGAAGTACCACAGCCACACAGAAGTCAGACATGATCCACTTCATCAGACATGATTCACTTCCAGTTTATGTTTTATGCATTTTAGTTCATCTTGTGAGTGAGGTAACTGAGGCTCCGCATCTAGACGGTAGTGTTGTCAAATATTTATGTATTTTATAGTAATAATTTTATTTCATTAATTTCCAGAGGCGTGCGACCGTTCGGAGTATCCCTACTGATCTGCGGCTGGGATGAAGGCAGACCGTACCTGTTCCAGTGTGACCCCTCCGGTGCCTACTTCGCGTGGAAGGCCACCGCAATGGGCAAGAACTTCAACAACGGCAAGACTTTCCTTGAGAAGAGGTGAGCATGTACATTTTTATAGCATTTTGGTGCTTCTTTGTATGTCTTGCTGTCGTCAGTGATTACTATTTTCTTTTTATGTGAAAATTTGCCAAGCAAGCAGGTGGTTTACCTGATGTTAAGTGAATACCACCCATGGCCAGTGTAGGAGACTACACCCAAGGGTTGCAGATGCATTGACAACCTTTGAAAATTGGGCTCCAGCTAGCTCACTCACCAGACGAAACGCAAAAGTATTATACTTCCATTTGACACCAGTCTTCTGTGAGGTTGTGGTACTTACCCGGATGAGCCTGCCCCTTAATGTAACTTCCGAGGCTTCTGCGTGGCCCTACCGCCCTAAAACATTTTATCCTATAGACTTTTAAATTACTTCTCAATACAAAAACTAGTAGACAAAGTACATCTGCGTTATTTTTTATAAAATATGCAAGTTTCCTCACAATGGTTTTCTTCACCATGCACATGATAAATCGGTACTTAATGTTCAAATGGTCGAGTATATTGAATTAAAAGAGAGTGCCCGGTCACTGAGCTATCATGGCTTTATATCTACTTGGTACTTTTTGTTTAAGTTTTTTTGGTAGTCTCTAGAAGTTTGTTATGTAATTTATTTATTTATGATTTTATTGTATTTATGATCTATTATTAAGTCTTATTTTTTATTATTTATAGAAATTTTTTTCTGCTTTAATTTTATTATATTTTATTAGTTTATTATGTATTTTATGATCCATTATTCATTATAGAGAACCATGATAGTTCAGTGTCTGGGCGCTCACCTTTCATTCAATATACTCGAGCAGATATGTGAAGTCCGCCAATCCGCAGTAGGGCCGCGTGGTGGACCATGTCCTGATACTCTCTGTATAGAGGAGGCATTGCCCACCAGTGGGATATGTATAGGATGATACTTTCTTTTATTAATTCTTATTTCTGGTCACAATTATCTTAGGGTTAATTATTTCGATCGCTCGTTGTTGACGTGTTCAGTGAATGTCTTGACCGTAGCGTGTACATTTTCAGGTATACAGAGGAGTTGGAGCTGGATGACGCCGTCCACACAGCGATCCTGACCCTGAAGGAGGGCTTTGAAGGCCAGATGACGGCTGACAACATCGAGGTGGGCATCTGCGACGCCAGCGGCTTCCGGAGACTGGAGCCCGCCCACGTCAAGGACTACCTCGCTAACATACCATAATCTTACCTCGGCTTAATGTTATATATACTAACTTTTGATTAAACAATTTGTCTTCGTTTCCCTTGTTTCATTGCACTACTAGCTGCTAACCCGCGGCTTCGCCCGCGCGGCCAAAGGGTATTAACAATGAGTTTTTTATTTTACACCAGAATATCTCGCAGATGGCTGAATGGCAATGTTAAGAGTATGATATTAAAATTTCAGCGGTGATCTTGGCATTCCTAAGAACACCACGCCAAAGTTATCCCATTAATCGTACCGAACGCCGCAAAAAATATCTCCTAAAATTGGTAGACCCACGTGGCACTTACGTCAGTGTCATTTGAATCCCTTACGCATAATGTGCTCACGAAAAATAATCAATTATCCCGCTTTGTGGTATCAAAATCGTTTTGTTTTGTATGCATAGAAGTATTATGTAACTAGAAGGCTAGCACTGAAAATCAGTGCTGTGTTGGGGCCGGAAGTCAATTCCGGCATAGCATAATGCTGAGCTGCTAACCTAATTTATCGGAATAGGGCGTTTGCACGCTATTAATGGTTTGTTAAAGTTCTTTTTCATTTGTTTATATTTTAATTATATATTTGTGTTCTTTCGCTTTACTGAAATATTTATAAGTATTTTTTTTTATTTTTTGTTAATTTTAGTGTTTATTTCTCTTTTATTGTGTGCGTCCTTTTTTGGTAAATAAATGTATTTTCTTTCTTTCTTTCTTGTATAACTGATGTTACATGTAGCTTCATCGAACCCAGGACCCGTGGGCTAGCCAGAACCCACGGGTTAGAGGCCCTCCTCAGTGGGTAGGGCCGCGCATGTAATCCTGCGTACAATAATTATGGCATATCGCCTACGGACCATCGAGGTTTGGTGCGGACCGTGATCCCGATGGCCGTTGACTGTGCTTGGTTAGTCAGTGGATGGGCTGGTGAGAGCCGCCCTGGAACGCAGGTGTACCTAGTGTACGGTTTCGCCGTGCTCGAAGGCGAGGACGAACTATGGTGTTTGTTGATGCACTAACTGAGTGTGTAGTGTCATTTGGCGGGACCCCCGACGGTGGGTCAGACGTACTCAAGTCCCCTTCCTCGACCGGGTCGATGAGAAGTTGCGCGGGCGACGCTTGTTGACGTTCGCGTTTATCTCGGGTTGGTAATTTTCTGCGCTTACCACCGGGATGGGATGATGTTCAGCTCTGTCGAAGAACTGTCCGGTGAGATCTTCAAAATGTTCGCGAATCGTCGGGAGTCTGCAGTAACTGTGCAGGTCGACATTGCGTTGATACACTGCGCACCGGTTGCCTGGCGAATGAACTTATTTTGTAATATTAGCAACTTGTGCAAGCGAGTAGGGTTTGTGTCGTCATAAGTCGAGCACGCGTAGTACATAATAGGTCTTACGCAGGACTTATATAATAATAATTTGCACCTTAAGGGCTTAATTTTACATTGCGTTGTTTAGGTGATAGAGTTGGCCGGAGGCGAACGCGGCTCTGTTTCTAATATCGTTAATATGCGATGTGAACGTCATGCGTAAGTCGAAAGTGACTCCTAGATATTTATTTTTACTTTTATTATTTAACCTTTTTCTCCCAGGGTGTGGTGAAGTGGTTGGCCGTAGAGTTATTAGCCATAGTTTTCTGCACTGGCGAGGGTCTTTACAAAGGTGTGACGGGTAAGTACTTAGCGTGAATTGAATCGCCACACTCTTGTCGGGATTTCCTCCTATTCTCTATTTGCGGAACCAATCGCTGAGGCGGCGCTTTGGAGACGAGAAGCGAGTTGATTAAGATTTTTATCTGTGTAAAAGAAGGCCGTGTTATCCGCGAAAACCGCGAGGTACATGTGTGTGTCTCTTGCTATGTCGCTCGTGTAGAGCGTAAAAAGCATGGGCGAGAGTCAGGAGTCTTGAGGAACGCCCGCTGTGAGAGGGTGAGAGGGTTTCGTCGGTGTGGCAATCATCCGTTTAGCTTAGTGGCTAAAGCGTCAGGCCGCGAATGCCGAAGACGTGGGTTCGATTCCCACAGCGGCGACAATCTTTTCGCACTTTTTCTACAACTTTTAAACCACGATTTTTTTTAATTCGTTATATCGTAGGGTTACGCTGGATTTCTGAAATACTGATCATCGTAGAAGTCAGCTAATCGGGAGTCAAATGGCTTTTTAAATGTTATTTGAGTTCCTCGCTTAGTAGTTAACCTTTTAATAAGGCTTTGAGCGAGAAAAAAACCATCAGCTCTCTTGTCACCAGCCGCGGCATTCTTAGTTATAAGTTTTAAATATTAATTATATCGAAATGTTTCGTTTAATATTTAATTAATAATTTTGAATTTTATTCTCTTTGTGAGCGCGTTGTTTGAAAAAAAATGCTTTCGGGCTAACTTCCACATAGGTACACTGAAAAATATTTAATCAACACCTCATACATCTAGGCGCCAAAGCATCTTTCATCAACATTTTTTTCCACAATATGAGAAAACAATGTATGAAGCATTAATATTAAATAAACAACGCTAAAATTGGGTGCTATTAAAAATGTATACAAAAAACTTTCGCATAGATTTTTTACTATCGGTGGTAGGGCGACGCAACAGTGTTCCCTGGTGCACGAATGAGCAGGTCCGTTCGGGTTAGTACCTGCCACGACCTCACAGAACCGGCGTGAAGTAGAAGTGCTATAACTCTACGTTTCGTATGGTGAGTGAGGTAATCGGGGCCCACTGTATTTAGAGGTGGCAAAGCACCTGCAGCACTACGGGTGTTGCAAATATCCATGGGCAGGCGGTTATCACTTAACATCAGGTGAACCACCAGCTCGTTTGCCACTTCCTCACATAAAAAAACGTGTGTATCTGTATACTTACTACTTATACTTTTTTAGCGTGAAAAAAGAAAAATAACTGACAATTTTATGCGTTTAATCTTTGTTTGTGAAAAAAATACGTTAAGTGCAAGTGATAACGGTTTAATTAAATAACTTGGAATTTAATTATACCGTTATCAATTAATTAAATAAAATAATTATTGGTTGCATAATAGCTCTATGAAATTGGTAGCTTTTAGATGTCGCGCATCTTATAAATTCACTCTGATAATTTTTCCCAAACGTGCCAAAAGAAGTATAACTTCAAAAATAAGAGTAGATCCATGTCGATATTTTTCTTCTGATGATTCGGCATATTAGCTTTTTAATTGCATACTTACCAAAGTAAGTTATGTAACTAAACCAGGTGGTAGTTTTTAAAAAAGGCGGTACTTGCATTGTTGGGTACATGACAAAAGATGGCGCTGTAATCAAAAGCATAGGTTGTAAAGTGTAAATCAAAGTGTAAAACCGTAATGGCATAAAATCAGTAGCTAAATCTTCTAGTTCGCTTATTTTGAAAAAACATCAACGTCAACCTGTAAAGTTTGATTATATAACAAGCATACTGTAATTATCGTATCATCAACATTTCAGCCAGTTTGAGTCCACTGCTGAACATAGGTCTCCTCCACAGACTGCCACGAAGCAAAATCCTGAGTCTCCTGCATCCATCGACTTTCCTTAATTTATATTTAGCAAAATTATCGTATAATGATGCTAGATATAAATTATAACTATAAATATTTATTTCGAGTACATAAGTTACGTAACTTTGGTAAAGTAAGAATGAAGAATAAAAAAAGTTGTGTCGAGTCACCCCCATGTTACGTAAACAAGTACATATTTATTTGCTTATGAGTATTTTAACCTAAAATGGCTTACCTAATCTAGTAACTGATAAAAGTGATAAACTGATAATTCTATTTAAAGAATGCTTTTTAATACGCCTACCTAGTTTCGAAAAGATATGAGTAGGGATGTGCAATAAACTTCCATATCGTTACTTTAGTAGGCTATAAATGGATAATACCTTTCACAGCTAAATGACTTTACTTTCGACAGTAAATTCAGCCAAATGGACTTTTCCTTAGATCACCAATAAGAAACTAAAGCCGTGGACCACATAACTTTAAATGATCTTTTGTTAGTCTTTATATTAACTGGTAAATTTACCAGTTATTGTTAAAATATGTATATTATATTACTGGCAATTTAACTCTTTTATAAGTAAACAAATATGTTATAAACAATTTTTTTTTTGTCTTTAATGACTTGATTTTTTTTAAATTATACCTCATATTTTTTTTCTTTTTCGCTTTATTTAATTCCAATTAGAAAGTATGAGGTAGAAATGAAATATAAAAATTATATTAAACGTTCAAAAAAGTCCGTTAACTAAGTAATGTTTCTATTGCATTTTTTAACATATTTCGGAAATAAGACTTTCTTATAATATAATGCATTGCTTCTTATCATTGTCAAATATATTATATAATCACATTCTTTTCTTGTCCAAATATATGAATAGTGGTATTTAACGAAATTAAAACCGGTAATAAAATCAAATGGCCCATCACTATCCTTCGCTATAAAAGTGAATGGGAATGATTCAGACTCCTCGATTGATCAACGCGGATCGTTCGCGAACACCGCTCATTCACCGCTCGCGCCGTATTCAAGGGACGGTTGTCATGGCGGCAGTGCGTGCTTTACGGACTAGTGGCATCTTCTTACTGTTATTTTTAATAATAAGAACGCAAGCGGATACAGCCCCATGGATATTCGCGGTGAACGTGAACGATAGGGCGTGTTCCGAGTTGAAATGTGTTTACAACTTGAATGTGAACGGCTTCGGGTTCGATGTGTGGTCGTTAACCTACGTGCCGGCGGCGCGCGGCGGAGGTTGCGAGGGGCGGTTTCTCGAGCAGAAACTGACAAAGGCCGTGGAGCTGGTGGTGCCCGCTGCGGAAAAGCTGTTCTTCTGCGCGAGGGGATCCGATGGCGTGTGGTACCACCAGGGCGCAGGCTTATTTTTGGACGGCAATGACGTCATCGGGCCGATCGCACAGCCCGAGCGGTGAGTGTCAGCGCCGTCAATTAAACCGAACGAGGCAGATAAACAAAATTAAACTGCTCACTTTCGCATATTTAGGTTACGCCATTTCGGCCCTGTGAACGCGCATAACCTAACAAGTATGTTCGCTCTACTAGATAGTAGAGCGTATATACGCTCAATAAAGTCTCGTTATGCTACGTTTTGAAGCTTTTATGATGCATATAAAATATAAGATCTCATATATATGGCATTTTTATGGCGTGAGGAATCGTCCTTTATTGCTCATGCGAATGCTCCACTTTCAACATTCCTGATGACTCAGTGCAAATATTGGGCTTTTTACATATGTACATCTAAGATTTGTTTCTGGACGTCTCGTCTGTGGCAAACTTAACAGTTGTTAAAAGAACGAAGACTGACTGCATTCAGTATTAAATTTGCCAGTGTTTTGTTTCTAATAGGAAATATTTAGTTGAGGGATAGCTTTTCCGAATTTTGGTTAATTTATACAAGTGACCGTTACTTTTTTTCGTGACGGGGAAAAGCTATGATAATGTGTCATTTTTGTCTGATATCCGTTGCTTGCATTTCTATATTATTACATTTTTTTTCCTTTTATTATGTATTATGTAACCACGTATTCTAAAAAAATCTACCGTCGTGTTAAATTACATGAATGTATTTTAACACTGTTCAAGGTAAAATTGCCAAATATCACAATTGGCGAGTTACCTACCTATTGTTTTGTGTTCGAACGCGATCCGTGAACACTAAACACATGAAAGTATTAAAGAAATAAACAAACGTCACGTTATTGAAGGTTACTATGATAAAAATCCCCATTTAGTTAGTATTTTGCAGACTTATCATTCGTAAAGTCCTTTTAATATTATTTTTTGTTTACAAACTAATTTGGCTGCTATGGTAATTAATGAATTGAAGCGAGAGAAAAATATGTGACAGGTTAACGATATCCGTTTGATAAAAAAAATTATATAATCTGTATTTTTTGAGAATAAATAATACCGTAAAACGGGGTGAATAGAATTTACGGGGTGAATAGAAATATTTTTAGGAAAATTTCTAAAACCCCGTGATTCAAAAAGTACTACAGAAATCTCAATTATTTGTATTTGTTTTTAAATGGCAACATATTTTCTTTTGTCTGACAACACTTGGAGAGGTTAAAGTTAGCAACATATTTGAAAAATTGACTTCAAACGACAACGGTTTTTTTTGTGTGATTTTACGCTCTTTCTAACTTCTTTTATAAAAAAAGATAATAAGTTCTTTCGAACAAAAAATTAATTTGTCTAATGGTGAATTTCACCGTGTACAATCTCTAAAGGTAAGTTGTTCTGATTAGTATGATTATTAATATATTTTGTATAAAAACTCAACACACTTAAATATTCTTCAATTTAGAGGTGGATAGAGACGACTGAGGGGTAAATAGAAACGGCCTATGGGGTTAATGGAAACGGGAAAGGGGAGAATGGAAACGAGGAAGGTCTAAATAGAAACGCCAAGGGGGTTTTTAGAACTAGTTTGGTTAGGGTTGTCACTTACTTTGATTTCATGTCGGCAAGTGTATAGAACACAGTCGGGTTCTTATGTTAATTAGAAAAATCCCTACCTAAATATATAATTAAATTATTAAGATTTTTTCAATATTTCATTCTGCACTACGTCCCAAAAATAGCCGGAAAACTAAATTTCATAAGTGTAGAAATATATAAAATGTTTCAAGTATGTAACTATATTTATTTTTTTTATTTCATATGCAGGTAAACTGACTGAAATATGCCACGTGAAATAGATCTGCTGTTTCACCGGAAATTATAAAAAATTATTTTGAAGAATTGGAAATATCACTGAATGGTGTATCGCTGTGCAACATCATTAATTACGACGAAACCAACCCTTCTGATGACTGACCCTGACCGTAAAAAAATAATCACAAAAAAAGGCGTAAAATATGCGGAACGAGTGATGAACCACTCCAAGTCTGCCTATTCTATCATGATCGCGTGCACAGCAGAGGGAGAACTATTGTATCCTTATGTTGTGTACAAGGCGCAGCATATATATGATACTTGGACTGCAAAATTGTGTCATGAAGAAAAAATACATTTCATATTTCTGCCAGCTAACACAACGCACATTACTCAGCCATTGGATGTAGCATTTTTTAAACCGATGAAAACTGCTTGGCGAAATATATTGTGCTAATGGAAAAAAAAACAGATGGTCGACAACAAGCAAGTATTCCGAAAGGAAGTTTTCCGCTCTTGCCTGTAATGCTGATGGACGCCCTAGAAAACAACGCATAAAGCAATATTTTGGGAGAATTCAAAAAAACTGTTGAGATATGCAATATATATCTATATCTTTATTTTTATTTATTATTTATAAACCCAACCAGACGAGAAAACAAATGAATATCCCCCCATAATAATAATAATAAAATATCTTTATTCACATAGACGCTTGCGCGTTCTTATGAAACGTCAAAATTTTACAAGAAATGAACACGTTCGTAAGTTACCACCGGTTCGGAAGGCAGTTTCTGTTGAGAAGAAACCGGCAAGAAACTCAACAGTTGCTCTTTTTTAAAAAAAATCAGTTTACAATATAATAGTACATGTACAATAGTCTTGTTTTAGCCTACGTGAGTATCAACAGTATTAACCCCACACATTGGCGTCGTCAAGATATTCAGCAATAGAATAATAGGCTTTAGCCATAAGTTTACTTTTAATTTTTCGTTTAAATTCATCAAGTGGCAGACTTAATATCGACTGTGGGATTTTATTATACATGCGCACACCTTGCCCCATGAACGACCTGTTTACTTTTTGTAAACGAAACAATGGCGTAGTTAGTTTGTCCTTATTTCTAGTATTTAGTTTATGTCTGTCACTATTCTTTAGATAACTATTAATATTATTTTTAACATACAAAATATTACAATGTTAAATATATTGAGACGCAACAGTGAGTATATTAATCTCTTTAAAAAGGTCTCTGAGTGTATTCCGGGCTCCGATGTTATAGATTGCTCGGACAGCTCTTTTTTGAAGAATAAATATAGAATTTATATCAGATGCACTACCCCACAACAAAATGCCGTAAGACAAGATGCTGTGGAAATAACTGAAATAAACAAGTCTGACAGTGTCGACAGCGGAGCTTAACCTGTTCGCAAGAGATGATAGATGGGGACTCCATTGGAGCTTTGAATCCACTGTAATTCCCAAGAATACAGCGGACTCAACAGGATTAAGGGTTACGCTATTTAATGTTAAGCTAAAACTTCGCCTTCTTACGCTGGGAAGGGTAAAAGGAAGGCATTTAGTTTTTTTAGCATTTAACACCATATTATTAACGGTAAACCAGTGGAGGATACGCGAAAGTGCACTATTCACGTCGTCATAATCCGACACGTTTCGGTCAACCTTAAAAATGAGCGATGTGTCGTCAGCAAACAGTACAATATCACATAACTCACTGGCATAAAAGGGGAGATCATTTATATACACTAAGAATAATAATGGACCCAAGATTGATCCTTGTGGGGCACCCATTTTCATGGGGGACCCTGTGGAATTTACATCATTTATAGATACTTTTTGAATTCTATTATTAAGGTAAGAGGCAATGAGATTGAGGGCGATGTCACGAATGCCATAATAATCTATTTTTTGAAGGAGGGTTTCGTGGTATACACAGTCGAAAGCCTTTGAAAGGTCGCAAAAGACACCTATTGCATCTTGTGACCTTTCCCAGGCGTTATAAATATGCTTGACAAGTGCGACACCCGCATCCGTTGTCGATCTGCCTTTAGTGAATCCATAGTGCTCATTGTGGAAAATTTTGTTCATATTAAAATGTACTAAGAGTTGATTTAAAATTAGTTTTTCAAAAAATTTACTCAGAGATGGCAATATGGAGATAGGTCTGTAATTTCCTGGATCATTTTTATCCCCACTTTTGAAAACGGGGATTATCTTACTGAATTTCATAAGATCTGGAAATATTCCAGAATCTATACATTTGTTAAAAATATTTGCCAAATATGGTGCATTATTATATGGCATTATTGTACTCATTAATTTTATGGACATGCCCCACAAATCTCCTGTATTTTTAAGATTAATAGAATTCAAAACTTTTATAATATCATTAGTATCTATGTGATTAAATTTAAACGTTTGTCGACAATAGGTAACATTATTTTTAATACATTAATTGCATCAATGGGAGAGGATTTTAACGTGCATGTAACATTAATTGCAATTTCTGAAAAATAACTTTCAAAACTACTTGCAATTTCGTTATCTGAAGTTATGGGTGTATTGCCTATCACTAGCTTTATAGGTTCCCTGAATATCTTGGGTCTTCCAGATATACAGGTAATGATGACCCATGTAGCTTTTATTTTATTACTAGAATTTAAAATCCTATTTCTTATGTAGATAGATTTTGCATGTATACAGACTTTTTTAAATATTTTTGAAAAATTTTGTACCCGTTTATGGAAATTAGGGTCGTGATTCCACTGCCTCATATTATATAATTCATACAGTGAATCCCTACTTTTATGTATACCCACTGTTGCCCAGTCACTAAATTTAATTTTGATTTTTTAACAATTGTGCGGGGTTTTTTCAAAAATATGATTATAGGAAGTTATGAGAAAATCAACCATTGATCTATAACAATCATTAGGGTTATTGACTCCGATATCTTTATGGAATACATGCTGTGCTACTTTATCTTTAAAAGAATTTAGTCTCCTAGTAGTGACTGGTCTACACCTGATCTTAATATCACTTGTAGTAATGTTTTCATTTATTGAAAATTTTAAACCAAGATGATCAGAGCTCAGATAATTTATAATAGATTTGTCATATACTTCATTGTGACAGAAAACGTTATCGATACATGTGGAGGATAAGTTAGTAACACGAGTTGGTTCATAAAAAAGATTTTTAAGTTTGAATGAATTAAATAAATTT